AGCCGCAAAGTAATTATTAGATGTGACCCACCCACCGTAACGACAAACATTTATTATGTCATCGTATCTTCTGTGTCTATCGTATGTCAAATGACGCAGACTACCACTGTGCAAGCGTCGGTGCATAGGAGAATGGTCAATCGACAACCATTGACTGCATCTACTTCGGTGTTAATTGTATCACGTAATTATACTCTTCGAACGCAGTTTGGTTTGATTCAACCGAATGAGTTATTCTCTCTTATTCCACCTTCTTGCCTTTAGAGGACCACGCGGGCGGGCCTACGCGCTACGTTGCCACCGTCTAACTGTGGCCACAATTCCAACGCGTACAAAGAAATATGGTGATTCATTTCTTTGTCGCACTATCCGTAAATGGAATGCTCTGCCCGCTCACGTGTTCCCTCCTTCTTACAACCTGGGATCCTTTAAAAGAGGCGTGAAGAAACAACATGCAGGCCGACAAGGAGCGGATGGCTGCTTGTTGTAGGTAGAACTGCTGTATCAGCTATCTTCACGTCTAGACTTCACCGTTACTTAACATCAGGTGGGACGGAGTCATATGTCGGACCTATCTATAAAAAAAAATGAGTGTTATGGTAGCCATACACACTACGAGAAATCGTTACGATTAGACTGTACCGTCCGAACGGTACCGATAAATCGTAGCGTGTATGTAATAAAAACTGCACAGTTTTCTATACGTACGCCACGTCCGATAAACTGTTCCGTTCGCACTGTACAGTCTGATCATAACGATTTCTCGTAGTGTGTATTGGTAGCCATACAAACTACGAGAAATCGTTACGATTAGACTGTACCGTCCGAACGGTACCGATAAATCGTAGCGTGTATGTTATAAAACTGCACAGTTTCCTATACGTACGCCACGTACGATAAACTGTTCCGTTCGAACTGTACAGTCTGATCGTAACGATTTCTCGTAGTGTGTATGACTACCATATGGCTAGCATTATATGTTACGTTTCGATTTTGACGAAAGCGACCGAACTAAACATTATTTTCACATTGTAAATCTTCACAGTGAACCGCTTGATTTTTTGCAACTAAATATTTAAGACTTTCTTTTTTAAATTGGAAACATAATAAAACTCTTTTGATTCATGCGTAAATTATGTATTTGTAACGCAGATAGTCACTTTAAAATAGCTGAGACATATGTTAACAGTAGTTTAATATTTATCTGTAAGGTTATAAATATTATTATTTTAACTTGATACTGTAAGGAAAATGAGCGTTGGCTTGCCAACAACTAGATGTTTACAGGTTGGCAAAGTATTAAAATATGATAAAATGATGTATCAATATATTGTTTTAAACTTTCATGGTCACTAACATTATAGCTATTAACGAGATTGTTACCTTGTACCTTGTTTTTTATGAGTCTCCGATATTTCGGCACTGTTGCAAGCGCCATGATCACGGAGTTACTCATAAAAAACAAGGTACATGGTAACAATCCCGTTAATAGCTATAATGATGTATCAAGGATTTATAAGTAAAAAAAAAAACAATCAAATAGGTAGCTAATTGGCGTTTTGACGAATTGTCAAACAATGCTTGGTAATTTATCGAGCAGATTTTATTTGAAGTAATCTCACCTGAAATAAAATCAGTAAAAATTTGTTGTTAGAAGGAAAATTCAAGTCTGTATTCCCCGAGGGAGTGGACGGAGCGCGTAATTACTAAATCGTCATAGGTAACTATATCATATTTAAAAGGGTTTACAATTGGTTTCCAGGTCTTTGCCCAAACACTGTCAATCCCTTAGTACTTGCTGTGAAATTAAGAGTAGTTTTATTTTTTGGAAGCAAAACCAAATGTAGTAATTAAGATGTATGTCATGTTAAAAAAATTATGGTATATATTGCTATTTATCACATTCCTCCTGTCTCCTTGCGAAACCCTAAACATAATTTCTGTCGCTTTAGATTTGTGTATGCTATTTTCCAGCAATTTCTGATACATTTCTTTATAAATCTTGTAGATCGCTGGTTTGGAGTGAATGCCCGTGGCGAATGCCAAATAAATAATCTCAGCTAAAACTCATGCATGTCGTGACGTGAGTTGGCAATTGCGAAAGATGGCGGAATGACAAACTTTATTTTAAAAATATTTCTTGCATTAATTTTTTCTGTGATATTTTGAAAAAAATCTTGTATACAAACCTTGTCCTGATAATAACGAACACAATAAGAAAGTAAATTACCTAATTCTTTGTTTTCGTTCATTTGTTCGTTATAGGCGTTCGGAAGTGATGCGCATATATACTTTTCGACGATTAATTTTTATACACCGTGAATTTTGAGTTACCTGATAAACTTAAAGATCGTATAAGGAAAAATAATGCGAACAATAATTATAGACAGTAAACGTACTACATACACCCCCATACACAAATATTGATTTATATCGTTTAGAAAATATCCTTAAACGGCGCGACCTTGTAAATAACATACCTATTATGCAATGAGGATCCTTAACGATTTTAGTTGAGAATGCAGGTTTATAGAGCTACGTATTCCATAAAATACAGTGGTTAAATTTTTGTTTTACGACAAATATTGACGAAGTTATAACCAAATTACTAAACGAATTTTCGTGGTGGCTGTGACGTCCCAGAGCTCTAGCGCTCAGGCGCGAGCGTGCGTAGAGACGCTACTGAAGTTCGACCGGAGTGAACCACGATTGAGCTCTGTGACGTCACATGTTTCGACCGTCGGTTAATATTGACTACCATAAAATTAACTTATAAAATCTCAACGAATGAACCGATTTCGATAATTTAGTATATTTATTATAAAAGTATATTTATTAAAAAGCTTATTAGATCATTACAATGTTGATTTTGCGTTGATTTGCTGACCTAGTAATGATTCTCATTATTATCTGTTTAAAGTACGTAGATCCTAAAAGTAGTTTTATTTGAATCAATTTATAACAAAAAAAAATTGATAAGGTTTCATAATCGCAAAATTAGTCAGTTAATGTGGTGGCATTTTTTGAAAAGAATCACTTAAGAAAAACATTTTTTTGCGGAAATATAACCTAAATCGTTCTTTGAATTCGCTAGCAAAGATTGAAAGAAGAAAATTCACAGTGTATATATAGTGTAGCGCCCGGGGAGTTATATACGTAAATACCTCGGATTTTAGTTACAGTGAATGAAATTAAAAAAATCCAAATGGAATGTTCAGCTAATAATACATTAAAAAAGTTTACCTATTAAATAATGTGATCTTGTTTTTTTTTAAATTAGTGTGCCTTGCGGTAGTGTTAAATGATTTGTACCTACTATGTGTATAATTTTTGTCACTTTAATTTCACTAGCCGCTTTCAGTTTATGAAACTCCTCTTCTTTTTAGGGTTCCTGAACATTCCATTCAGATTTTTTTTCATTTAACGTTGCAAAACCGAGGTATAAACCCCCAGGCGCTCCACTAATATACTTAGATGCTATGACACATTATTCATTCTAGTTATTTAGTCACGAGCAGAGCGTGCGTTGTCGAGGTCATCCTGACATTGTAAAAACTAGTAGTTTGGTAATTATAGCTCTTATGCATTTACATGCTTCTATACTATGGATACTTTCAACGAACTTCAGCTATCTAGATATAAGTAGACGTTGAAACTTGTTATTACTTTAAGCGATCATCATCATCAGCCTATTAATGTCCCCACTGCTGGGGCACAGGCCTTCCCTATGGATGGAATAGGGAGATTGGCCCATGACCCGCCACGCGGGCCCAGTGCGGATTGGCGGGTGCTAACGACTGCAGCTGCAGCCGGGACCAACGGCTTAACGTGCCTTTCGAAGCACGGAGGAACTCGAGATAGAAGTTTTTGGTCACCCATCCAATGACCGACCACTGCGAAAGTTGCTCAACTTTAACCATCTCAGCCGAACGCGCTAACCATCTGCGCCATCGAGCTCCTCTTTAAGCGATGTAATATATTATTTATGTTTGCAAAACACTCGGAAAGTTCACTTATCACTTGTAACGGAAAATGCATTCCACAAACTTCTTGATAAGTTTTTTTAGTTCAGTCAACTCACCTGTATAATACTTTGACGGTACTCCTTCAAAATAATTTCGCAAGTGAGGAAGATAGGGCGAATATTTCTTATCATGTTTTTTAAAACAAACTAATGATAAGGACTCCTTACTCACTAGTCTTCCATCAATAGGGAAGGCATGTGCCCCAGCAATGGGGATATTAATAGGCTGATGATGAAAGGAACATTATTTGTCACCTTAGCAAGTCCTCACGTCATCCATCTGGCTATATTTCACGACCTCCGTGGTGTGAGTTACATGTGCCCCGGTTTCCAACGTGTCGTCGCCTTGTCAGAGGTCGTGAGTTCTAATCTCGGCATGGCAAATGTTTGTATAATGAATACGTTTGCACCTTTATGAATTCACAAGGATTCGGCTGTGTATTGTGTCATTTTTGATGTGGGACTGTCGAAATTACAATTTCGTTATTTGCGGTGTTTGCTTTGTGTGCTCTATGATTTCTATCTATTATCCTAGTATCCCATGACAAAACTTCTTATTTTGTGGCTAAGCTAATTAGTGTAAGTGTTAGAAAATGATTAATTATTTATATTAATCTATGTAGAAATGTGGAGGAGCTCGATGGCGCAAGATGTTCGACTGCGGTCTTTGAAGTTAAGCTACTTTTGCCGTGGTTGGCCATTGGATGGATGACCTAAAATTTGCTATCTCGAGCTCCTCCGTGTTTCGGAAGGCACATTAGGCCGTTGATCCCGGCTGTATCTTCAGTCGCTAGCACCCACTAATCCGCATTGGGCGTGGTGGGTCATGTCATGGCCTAATCTCTCTATTCCATCCGAAGGGAAGGCCTGTGCCTCAGCAGTGGGCACATTAATAGGATAATCATGATGATGATGTAGATATTATACACATCACAGTATTTGGCATTCATCCAACCTTACTTTTTTTAATCGCCAGGTTCGCAGAACTCACTGCGAAAGTGTTCGTGTCATCATCCATACCTGTACACATATTCTCCGTCGTGTGTCCTACACCGTTCGTTTCCTTCGGGACGATTCTGCACAAAGCAGCCGCCGGCGTGATGGTCACGGCGTCCCATAACCCTAAGGAAGATAACGGGTACAAAGTGTACTGGGGCAACGGCTCTCAGATCATATCGCCGCACGATGAGAACGTGCTAGATGAGATATCGCAGTGTCTGGAGTAAGTTCTTCCCGTCAGAATTGATATTGCAAATATTTAAATAGAGTGTCAAGTACTTGATTAGTAGTTTTATCCTAATGTTAAAGGTCGCTGCACACGCGCCACACGCGACAGCCACAAACGCCGCCACCAGAAGCTAGAAGCGGCTACAAAGGTAGCTGAAGCGCGCGACAGCCACTTGTGGCCGATCGACCGACCGAGACACTTGCCGTCGGTGGCTGCTACTTATTTTAACACGCGCTTTCTAGGCAGAACTGAAAACCAGTGCTTTGCTCTCAGAGCAAAGGTATCGCTGAGTTTTTGCCTTTTTCTGTCGTTGCGGCACACAGTTACATATTTAGTAATTAAATCTTCTATTGGTTTATTAGAATTTGTGTGCTGTACTGATGGGATATATGATTTATCTATCTATCCAATGCCGTCTTTGACCTATTGGAGGCCCTGGGCATATTAGGATAATGGGGCCCCTATGACTTCCGTTTGGTGATTTAACAGGAACTTAGGGACTTTGTGTTTGTTCTGAGGGGGCCACCTATCGATCGCGGGGCCCTGGGCACTTGCCCAAAGTGCCCACTGGAAAAGACGAGTCTGTATCTATCTTTCTATTTATCACATGCCTGCACGCATGTGATAAATATCAATATCATAACGACAAAGAAGTTTTGAAGGTGGGGAATCATTAGTATAGTACATAATACATTAGTGGCCGGTGCGGGCCAAAAGAAGCGAGAAACGACGATTTGTAGCGTGTGGCGGCCACCGGCGTTAACCGTGTGCGGCGAGTCCATATAAAATGTATGAAAACTACAGGAAATTACGCCGGTGGCGGTGTTTTGTAGTTTTGGCGCGTGGCCCGTGTGCGGCTTAAATTGTGCTTCTTTCCCAAAATTGTTTAGTTGTTATTCCTATGATTGCTCGTAATTTCAGTATCCCCGACGACCATTGGGACATTTCTGAAATTCGCTCGCACGAACTAGTGACAGATTGTTCGGAATTTGTCACGAGCAAATATATGGAATACATCCGGAACAGCCTGAGCGATAATATTCTAGAACAGAATAGAACAGCGGCCATTGACGCCGTTTATAGCGCCATGCATGGCGTCGGATATGATTATATCGTGAAGGCGTTTCAAGCTGCGAATTTGAAGGTAGTATTTGATGATGCTATATGATTTATTCATAAATTGTACATACTGCTTTTTTACAATGGTTTGAAATTGACAACATCACACGTTATTAATAGAAGACACGTCATTTTTCTAATAATTCGAATTCGACATCATTAATTTCTCAATTTGTTTAAGTTTATATACTTAATAGATTTAAAATACTGCATTTTAAATTGATCAGGTTTAATACCGAGATAGTACACAGTATATGAAGAAATTTATTCTCAAAAACGACAAAATGTCCCGGAAATAGTTTGCAAAAATAAATAGTGGTACGGTCATTGCCGCCGTAACAAATTACTACCAAAATCAACATAAACCTAATTATTTCAATATAATATTGAATTCAATATATTTTACATTAAATATATTAGTTGTTTTCGGGACAGATAGGCTCGCGTGGTTTTAATGCCCCTACCAAAAACATTCACGTAAAACTTATGCATGTTTCATTTCCTCCTTTTACTGTGCCAAATATTAAAAGTCTCAGCTCATTTATTTTGGCTCTTCTTTGACCTATATCAATAAAGTATTTATTTATGACCACCAATATGTGTCGCCCAGCTGCCCATAAGCGTACGCGAGCAAGAAACCCCGGACCCCGACTTCCCAACGGTGAAGTTCCCCAATCCAGAAGAAGTAGAGTGCTTGCAATTAAGCAAGAAGCTCGCAGAAGAGAAGGGAGTAAGATTAGTGTTGGTGAACGATCCTGACGCAGATAGGCTGGCTGTGGCAGAACACGATCCGAGGTGAGACTAGTATTAATATTTGGTTACTTGAGTGTTATAGGTAAAAAACCATAGACAAATTAACTTGCGCAGTAAACGTTATTGTATGTAAGATTGCTACTGCGCAGGCTTCCTTGTCTTTGGTCGTTGCTTAAAAAATTGCTTGCTTTTGATTGATTGATTGATAAAAATTAATCGCTGAATGTGTTGCTAAGCGCAAATCTCGAGAACAGCTGAACCGATTTCGATAATTCTTTTTTTAGAATATTCCTTTAAGTACGAGGATGGTTCTTACGCAGAGAAAAATTAAAAAATATGCCGGAAAAAGACCAAAAACAACACTTTACTATACTCCCATACAAATGATTCGTAATAATTCTTAAAAGTCAATTAGAGCTTAAATACCATACCATAAATTTCAATGTTAGTTGAGAGGCTCCGGGAAGGCAAAACAATTAAGTGACGTGATGTCAACAGAAGTTTGGAAAACGCAAATATATCATTTTTAGTTTTTTTTTTATAATTATATGAAGAGGCATTTTAGTCTACACTACAGCTCTACACTAGTAAAAGATATATAAATAAAAAAATCAAAATATATGGTCAATGTAAAATGTGTTCATTACATATAAAGGTCACTCATATAAGTAGCCTTGCGTGAACCCATGTGAGCCTAAATTCCATTTAGTCTTCGATTATTTATATTAAATCTTTAAATGTTTGAAATTTCCACAAAAAGAACTACTTACCTTGACCTCTAATTTATATCGCCTGAAGTCTGGAAAGGTATTTCATAGCAACTATAAAGTGGATACAGGATTGGTTGCTAATTCTTCAGTTCATCACGCCCGCCGATGGTTCTATGCTTCATATATCTATGAAGGCTTTGGTTACTAAGATTGGTAAGATGGGGAGGACGGCTAAGGCCTCCAAGCAGTGCTCCATTACCTAATATTTATTTATCCAGCTCCAAGTCCTGGAAGGTGTTCACTGGCAATGAGATGAGATGGGGACATTACTGGGTTGGTGGCTGAATCTGAAGAAATAGCAATTGTAGTTTTATATTTTTTATATCTTAAGCATTTAACTGCTAGACGTTTTAATCTAAAGAAAATGTTACTAGAAAAAAAATCATATCAATATTTTTTTCTAGTAAAATTTTCTTTAGATTAAAACACCTAGCAGGTAAATGCTTAAGATATAAAAATATAATACTGTATTGTTTGCTGATTCGTCAGTTCGAAGCGAGCCGCGACTCCAGTAACTATCGTCATCGGTAGCATAGTTAGTTCTCGCTCAGGGTTTTTGTTTCCTAGACATATACATGACTGTGGAATATAGTGTCCTTAGCAATATTTCTGGACCAGTATCACTCTAAAACTACATAAAAAGAGCGTACTCCTTCTTTAAAGGCCGGCATCGCATTTGTTATACTCCTGGTGTTGCAGATGTCTATGGGCGATGGTGATCACTTTCCATCAGGTGAGCCGTCTGCCCGTATGCCTCCTATAATAAGTATATGTATATATATACTACTGAGGGGTTCACGTAACGTCTCCGATGACGGAAAAATATTAATCTGCCGGTTTGCATGGAGTGGGGGTAAGAAGGGGTAGAAAATAAAAATAATAATAATCGAGCGCGTAAACCATTCCGAAGGGATTCCCAAAAAACTGTAGATTTCTCTATATGTTTTTCTCACTGCTCGTAATGTAATTATATACCTATGTATATAAACTTCTCGACCTCCGAGCAGTATGTAATGCCTGGTATTTATTTAACCAGCTCCAAGTCCTGGAAGGTGTTCAGTGGCAATGAAATGGGCACTCTCCTGGGTTGGTGGCTGATCCGGCAGTTCGAAGCGAACGGCGACTCCAAGGAGCTTTATGTCATTGCTAGCGTTGTTAGCTCCAAGATGCTAAAGGCGCTCGTGAAGGGGAAGGGGGAATTCGTGGAGACTCTAACCGGGTTTAAGTGGATGGGTGAGTGTTTATTACATGTGATTTTTTATATGCAAATATATAATGACAATAACTTATCTTTGAAAGTAACAATACTAAACACATGCAGGCCTGTGAAAATGATTTTGAAAATAGGAGATTTATCACAACCTCTTATACATGTTTTTATTTGAACGAAATTTTTGACGAGTGCTTAAATTTAGTTTTGTACTTATCAGGAATAGTCAGACAGCTCCCGAGTCACGGGCTGAATTGCTCCAGGGCATTTTATACGAGGCTGCTAGAACGCACAAAATCGATTCAGCTTTATCAGAATTAAAGCCATGAAATGAAATATGTATAACAACATTTCTTTTCTTCTCTTTTCTAAAAATTTTGTTCATAGCAAAAAACACCTTTTGAATAAATTAATCATATAACTAGAAGAAAATCCACGCGGACCAGGCAGCAGACGGGACTCGAACCCGCACCCTTCGCTATCCGGGCGAATGCACTGACCAATTATGCTACCGCAACTAGTGTTGCCCAAATGCAAGAACAAGACGAGACTTGGCCAGTCTTGGTCTTGCGCCAATACACCTGGTCTTGGTCTTGGTCTTGCAGCAAGAGTTTTGCAAGTCTTGCAATTACCTATTAGACTATTGCTATTTATTAAAGTTTACTTTAGATCTTAGAAAAACGTATTAGAAATGGAACATTGTGAGCTTGAATTAACATAGCACTAGTAAAGACCAATCAGATTAATAAATGTCTGAAGATTTGATAAGAAATTCGAAAAATCAACTGCCACATGGTTATCAACTGAGCTATATGTCGTTTTCAATGGGAGTAACTGTTTCTTAATAAACATTTACGCTTTATAAGCTTACATGTGCTGAAACATGTAGAAAAAACTTGACTGTATTTTAAAGAACAATATCTGTCTAGAAAGGGATTGAACCCTCAATTTATATTAAATTTAATAAAAGAGTTTTACGGTTTATCATTTATTTGCTATGTATGTTTATGGTATTGGTCGTAATGCGTATAGGTCCAGTTTTTCATATTCTTTGATACAGTTTTTTGCGTCTCATAGAATTCCTAAGCGTAGGTATCTATACACCGAACTGTTATACCTAACTACTCCGTGAAATAGCGCTAAGTCCTAGCTGCAAGACGCAAGAGTCTTGCCGGATTAGTCTTGTTCTTGCTCAAGTCTTGTACGGTCAGTCTTGGTCTTGCTAAAAATACGCGGTCTTGTTCTTGGTCTTGGTCTTGCAAAAATGCAAGAACAAGACCAAGACTGCAAGACCAAGACTGAATTTGGGCAACACTAACCGCAACCCTGACAGCCTCGTCGAAATTCTTCTAGCCATTCTTAAGCTGCAAGGCAGCGCCATTTCTTCGCATTGTAGGTAACCCACACTGTCAAATGAATACTTTTACAAGAATTAATGCCTGGTCCGCGTGAAATTTTTTCTAGTTATCTAGTTATATTTAGTTTAGTCGAGGAGTTAAAAATATTAATTAAGAAAAGCATTTTAAGGTTTGAGAAATTAAAAGTATAATATGAGGAGCTGGCGAATAAAACGGTGTAATTACATCAAATTTTACAGGAGCTGTAAAAAACTGAATGACGTACCTACAGTGAGCTTTTCGCGTGATTTTTAATTTAGTAATTTTAACACTATTTAAGGCGGTTTTGATTGACATGAGTTGAAATTCAAATTCAGCTGGCCCAAAACCTCCGGGCTGTAAATATATATATTTCCAACACACACCAATTAGCCTAGCCCCAAAGTAAGCACTGTAAGACTTGTGTTATGGGATACTAGGGTAACGGATAGAAATACATATTAAACATATGGATGTTTAATAAATAATACAATATAGACGATAGTTTGAATATGACAGCAATCTATCATGAGGTGACAATGAGCGCGCCCTGCGCACGCGACCTTTTTACCTTGTTTTTTTTAAAGAAAGTAAAGCAAAGCAAAAGTTATTTTAAAGCACATTAACGGAGGCACTCAGTTGGGTCCGTTACCTTTAAAATATTATTATTTGGAGGTGCACGAAAGACATTACTCGAATTCGGGCACCCGAAGCAATATTTACACTGGAATACGGACTGGAAGACGGTGGCGGGTAAACAAAAGAAAACTACCCGAATATGCACGAACTCGACTCCTTCATTTAGACTTAGTCGTTTTCCCGAATTCCATTGGCTCTCATAAATGTAATAGCATGTTATTTTCTTCCCTTGATATCAAAAAATAAGCAATTAGATGCAAAATGATGATACAATTTTGTTTATTATGCAGGCAACGCAACGCTTTTATTAGAACAGCAGGGTAAAGTGCCTCTCTTCGCTTTCGAAGAAGCCATCGGGTACATGTGCAACCCCACCGTGCCAGATAAAGATGGCGTTTCAGCCGCTGTTCAGGTAAGTTCAAGTACATAGACGTACTAGGAAAAATATTCACATAAAAGTCAAAAATAACTTTACTTCCTCCAGGTGGCATCTTTAGCCTCCCATCTATACTCCAAAGGCTCCACGCTAGTACAACAGACGCAGAGTATGGATTCCACTTTACTGAGAACTTGTACTACGTGTGTCACGACCCCGCTACCATACTATCAAAATGATACTGACCATATTTGTTTCTTAGGGTTTTCACGCACATCACTCATTAAATAAAACTATTAATAGTTTTAACGGGTTAATGCACGAACTTTATTTATTTATTGACGTTCCGCAGCCTTTTCAGGTCTGCATCGTCAGAATAATGATTTTTTATTTACTTTGTCGAGCTACCTTCGAAAGACTTTTATTGAGCGTTCGGATATTTCATTGGAAGATTTTTAAAAGTTAATTGTCTATGTATGAATTTATAAGTTAATTTAATTAATAAAGTACTTTATTTAAAAATCTTTTTTGTAATTTTGGGTTTATTTATTTAACTCTAACTACTTTAAACTACCACCGGTTCCAAAATTGGCTGGCAAAAGGCTAAAGGCAAAAAGGCTGCGAAAAGTCAATAAATAAATAAAGTTCGTGGATTAACCCGTTAAAACTAGTTTTATTGATACTGACCACTTGCTTTACCGGAAAATATTGGAAAAAAAGAGTAAATAAAAGGAGCAGCGCGTTAACAATGAATTTTCGTACACTTTTTCTGCCCGCTCAGCGAGTTAATAATGGATTTTTATAAACTTGCCTCGCCCGCTAAGTAGTACAAAAGTAACGAGGTCCATTATGCTTCTTTCTTTAACCCTTCAACTGCGGGAAAGCCTCCGCCTAAAATACCCCCCGTCTGCGGGACGATTGCGCAACCGCAGCGCGTGTTCGACGCGGTTTGAAATTTATTTAATAACTTGAAGAAATTGGTCGGTCGACATGCAGCTAAATATTTTATTTCAATTATAGATAGGCTATGTACCTTCTTTTTTAGTAATTTCCTATGGAAATTGTTTCAACCTTTTTATTTTTAACAGGAAACGTAGACAAAATCAATTTATGCACCTAAGGTGGCATAAATGCGATTTGAATAAATTATACGAATACTTGTGCTTTTCATTTATAACCTTTTCAAAGTTGAATAACAAAACAATAGATTTTTGCAAAAAATAGGATGTTTCAAGTATTTATTCATATAAATAAACTGTTTTAAAAATTACACTTACACTCCAAAAACTCGCCATTTTGCTACTCATTTAGACCGCACTTTCCATCACTCATAATACTTACTCAAGCCGCATAAAGCATTAGCTATCACTTATTTTAGTCAAATATATATTATTCTATCCTTATAATGTAAAGATATTACATAAATTACATAAATAACTAAATTTTTCGACAAATAAGGGAATCAGTACGCAATTTTTCAAGTTTTGCAAGGCCCGTTTTCAATGGCAAATTTAGAGTGTTTTTAGACGTATTTAGGTTATGGAAATGACTGAATGATAAAGTAGACAAACTCAACTGTATCGATCTGACATTCTAAATCATAGCTCAATACAAAAATATTTAGGTTTCGGTGATAACATTCCTAAATGTACTTCTTCCTCGTACTTCACTCATTCTACGCATGTGTGCGTGTACCGAGTGGTATCTGCTGCGGAAAGTGCAGATCTGCACGCACGGAAGAACCATTATCTACTTAGGAGCAGATCTGCACTATTATATAGCGTGTTCATTTTGTGAGTATTTATCTTACTTTATTCAGTCTGTGACTCAAAAATATATTAAGAATTTTATTGTGTTATGAATGGTGTAAAAATGTATGAAACCAGTTTTATCAAATGTTATTACTTTAGAGATCTTACAGTGTGTGGTGTGAAGGTTTTGAATTATTATATTACCCCACTCCCCCCAAATCCAATAGTTCACGTGTTATATCTCTAAATATACTATTACATATATACATGTGATCAATAAATATTTTTGTTTTCTTCCTCTCACTCACTCATCACTCTAATAAAACTACATGGTAGAGGTGATGCATTTTATCTATTACAAATATTAAATAACATTTACACGCAAACAATAACATTTCAAAATTATGTGAAGTTATGATTTTATTTATTATTTAAGCATTTAACTGCTAGATGTTAAATCTAAATAAGTTTACTAGAAAAAAAATCCACGCGGACCAGGCAGCGGACGGGACTCGAACCCGCATCCTTCGCTATCCGGGCGAATGCACTGACCATTATGCTACCACGGCCTTATTAGCCGCGTCGAAATTTTCCTAGCCTTAAGCTGCAAGGCAGCGCCATCTCTTCGCATTGTAGGTAATCCACAATGTCAAATGAATACTTTTTCAAGTATTCAAAATTCAATATCGTTTATTCAGTCCAGGCTGTTACAAGCACTTGTGAATGTCGAAAAGCTACGCCATCGGTTCGCAAATCTACGGCGGGAGACCTTGTACTGATAAGAACCGGCAAGAAACTCGGCAAGGGCTGTTTTTTTCTCCCTGTATTATATACAGAGTCGTCAATTTGAAAAATGACTTCAATATGAGATAACTCATGAAGTCACTTTCCATTACAAATGTAAATGATAAAACAGTTATGACTATAATATAAAAAACAGATTTAAAAATAAAAAAAGTTTAAGAATGCCGTGTCCTACTGTTTAGGCATAAAAACAAATGTACCATTAAAGTTAAATACAACGATTAATAGTACCCAATGTAGCAAGAGCAGACTCATCTCCGCTGGCAGCACCCATTCACGAGCATGACGCATGAACCAGCCATCGCTTCGCTCAACCATTTTTTAGGGAACGTAACGACCCGCCTCACACGACACATTAAACATTTGAAAGAAGAAATAGCAATTATAGTTATGATTTTATTTATTTTTTATGCATTTAACTGCTACATGTTAAATCTAAAGAAAAGTTTACTAGAAAAAAAAAGTGTGAAGTTTTTAGCCTTTTAAATCCTCCAAGCTGTGGTAGTCACGCCAACATTGGTCGAGGCATAAATAAGTTTTGCACTGGCTACAGGATATACTGGTGAATGTATTTTTGTTTACAGCCAGACAGCGCACGCAACGTCCCCTTTTGCGCTTGCTGGCCTTGTTTGAAGTACGTTCCCCGTCTATAGGTGCAGTGACAGGGAAGTGATCTACCTCTCTGTTGAGCCTCACCAAGGTTCGGGAGCCAGTGTGCTGGCGTGGCCTAGATGTCACACCACATTCCTCCAGTATCTCTGCAGCTAGTGCATACCTAAATTGCCGGTGGGTCAGTTTCTGACTCCGTTGACCTGCCGACTCAATGTTAGCACAATGAATAATATAAGCATTGAGGATGCTAACATTGAGCATCCTCCGGAACATTTTCAGGTACCATTTGGTACCTCTTTTGCGTTCCAACAGGTACATGGCTAGTTTCTGATCTTTAAGATCGACACCACCCATGTACCTGTTGTAATCGCTTATCACAGCCGGTTTCGTGCATGGTTGACCGGCTCTGCGCCCTTCCACTACGCTGTTGTCGTGGAAAGTAGACACTGTGGTGACAAGCTTAACGTCTTTCCACGAAGTTACGGAAACGTCACCACAGTGTGTACTTTCCATGGCACCACGAGCCACCCGGCGTTCGTTTAGGTTCTTGATGATCGCCGGCGTGTTTTGTCGGCGTCGGTTCAGCGTTCCGACCACGTCAGTAGCGCGTGACTTCAAGTAGCGGCACAGCTCCACCGAATTATAAAAATTGTCCATGAAGACAGTGTAGCCTTTGCCAAGATAGTTTTGAATTAAATTCAACACTATCTTGGCAGTGCTGCTCACAAAACCTGTAACGAATGTCGGCTCGCGAGTTGAGCCTTTCCCGGTGTAAATGACTGTGTTTAAGACGTATCCAGTGACCGACTCGCACAGCTCATACGTTTTTATACCAAATCGGGCCGCCTTTGTGCGGATGCACTGGACCCAGCTGAGCCGTCCCTTCCAGAGAAGTAGCGATTCGTCAATCGCTAAATTCCTGGAAGGACGGTATAGTGCACGGAACTTTAAGTTTAGATATTGGATTACGGGGTGAATTTTTGCGATTTTTTTTTCTTCACCTCGTCCGACGATTTCGTCGTTATCGACAAAATGCAGAAACCTCATAAGAATGAGGTATCTGTCCCTAGTCATTATGGCCCGAAACCCTGGCATACCCATTATTCCTGTCTGCCAGTACTCTTCGATTTGGCCTCTAACGCATAAGCCCATTAAAATCATGACTGCAAAAAGCCGGTAGACTTCCGAAACCGATGTCTCAACCCAATCGTTTAATCTCGATCGGGCTGGTATACCAGCTTCGGAAGCCTGGGCAATTGTTTGCCAGGCATATAAATTTGTCTGGTTAACTATCGTTTCTAGAATATGTTGGTCCCACATTTGACGAAATATGCCAATCGGCGAAGTTTCGTCAATGGTGGGACCAACATCTTCTGAAAACGTCTCTCGTTGGCCGGTGAAAGTGGAGTAATCAGGACTCCATGAAAATTCATAATCTGTGATGTCTTGTTCTGCCTCGGCTTCCTCTTCAGGCGAAGCCTCGAGGAGATCACGAAGCTGATCGTTGGTCAGGAGGTCGGCTTCATCCGCTTCGCTTCCTGAATCGACCGCCAACTCTCGAGCTATTTCCTCGTCGAAGATCTCATTTTCCCACTGTAAACACATGCAAACCCTCAACCACAAGCAAACCATGCATATTATGCGTAACTGTTAGTAAATGCGGAGCCACGTTTTATCATAAATCCCCACCAAGTCAGATGCGTCAATCTTATTTACTTATGATGAGCAAACAATGGTAATATAGAATTATTTTCATAACAATATTCACTTCAAATTAATTGGTATTTGTAACGTTAATGGTAACCACATTGTCCAAAAAAATTCATGCTTTAAAATGGACTTGCCCACCAAAATAATAATAAATCATTATATTTCTTATAAACATAATGTCAAAATACTGCCGTAATATCAAACAATCAGACCAAAGCTGCGTTACCATGGCTATTCTAGCATTACGAATGTAATAGGTCCACACACAAAACACGCCACACCTAAACCACGAGATTTTAGTGCAAGTTAGACTAAACTTACATCATTTTGGTTGGCCTCGTCCTCTCCGTTTCCTCCTGGTTCATCTGACTGAAAGGAGATGATTTTTGTTATTTTATTTTTGTTATACTATGCCTTTTTTTTACAAATTAATTAGTTTTAGTCGGAAAAGTTAGCTCAGTTCAAACAAATAATTACGTTTTGCCGAATTTGAGGCTGAGGAAATAGGCAACGACGGGCCAAGTGCATCTCGTCAATGATTTCGACGCCCTCGCCACCTTGTAACGGTACATCGGCTGGAGGCCGCCATGGCTGTAAATAACAAACAAAAATAATGTATAAATGTTAAAAAACATAATTTTACCGTCTTCATTCGATCAGCTGACCCTTTTTGTATGACAAGGGAAATATTTTTAGTAGGTACTTACACGAAGCCTCCCGGAACCTGTTCTTGCCATCACTACCTCAGGGCCAACGGTTAAGCTGCCCTGAGGAGTCCTCAGGACCTCAAGGGCTCTTATCAGTTGGTTGTTATCTTCCATCTTAAAACCTAGTTCAAGGGAAGCATACTTAATTAGTTTTCTATTTATTTGCATCCACTTCTTAAAAAATAAAAAGTAAACAAAAAATATACACCGTGACTTTTTAAATACCCGAGATAATTTACTTAGCATATATTGAGACATCGAAAAACATCATATTTCGCGAAAAAACTTGCCAATTATTTTTTTTGTATGAACACAATTTAATTTGAATGTAGCTAATTAACATATACGTTTCTCTAATCGAGAATTTAAATTTGACTCTTTTTAAAAAAACAGTGTATATATATAACAATCCGTACACAGTAATAAACTTGGATACGACCGCCGGTACGCGAACAACGAAGAAGACTGAACAAATTGATTAAATGTTAGCAACAAAGCACGTGTAAGGCGAGGCGGCACCTTTTGAAGTCGCGCACACGCACCTTATCAAAGGTGCCGCGAAAAGAGCGGCAATCCACAATAGCGGCGGCATGCTTTAAAGTCGGCCGGGTTGAGCGTTAGAGATGTTACTGTTTTTTATTTTGAATGGAAACCTTGAAAATATTACGATAATTTACTAAGACTGTGTAGGTACATCGTCGACAGCTGGGCTACCCGGTCATTGATTTTTATTCGGTAACCCATTTTTTTTACAGGCCTAAAATACCTAGTATTTTATATTATTTATTATTTTTGACGACCTGTTTAGCTGTTTAGATTGTGACGTAAGGGTTGCGGGTTCGATACCCGCACAATCACAAAATATTTGTTGATAAAATAGGTATTTGTGCTTGCGTTGTGGTCTGGGTTTAGCTATAAAATTAGCTATTACAGCTGTTTTATACAAGTAAATGATATCACGTATTATCTTTTCTTACGCATATAGTAATATTAAATAAAAATAGATATTCCATAATCATTACAAATTTCGGATTACTTTTATATCAGTCTCAACGTAGGACAGTATGATTTGCGTATTTTATTGTGAATAACATCTAATTCAAATACGGATCTTTACTTTACTAACTTCGGCATAACGGACCAAAAAAACAACACTCTGTAGAACGGTGACGCAGACACCGTGTACGCATACACTCCGGCCGCCATATTGCCTTATGAATGTGTGCGTGCGATTTGAATCATGTTTGCAAAAATAACACTTTTTTACACGTAATTTAGCTTTTTTGTGTATAGTTCGTTATCACTGAATACACTAAAGAATTCATAATGTAAATTTGATAAAAGTATCATGCAGAATATATGAAGAACCTTCAGAATATTTTGAATTTTACAACCGTTACCAAAGTCAGTATTTTTATGCATGCACTTTATCAGCGATTATTTGATATCAGTAATGTCTTTCGTTTCGATTATATTTCTAAATACACTAAGACACTTTCTTAATACATTAATAACACTTTATTACTTACCTTTATAGAGATTTCTTCAATAAAACACACTTTCACAGAACAAGAAATTTTTAGTTGCGAACTTCCCGGTGGTCGATTTTAAAATCGTCGTACTAACGGTTGTTTGGTCATAAGAACGACTTCACTGCAATGAGTGAATGGTTTATTTATCTGGGTTTAAAATTCAAAAGACTTTGAACTGTATTACATTACATTTATTTCCAAAAATGCAAAAAATTGAATACGGGTGACGAGCGAGCAGATCTGCACTTCCCCAAACGGGCTATACTCACGAAGGCGTGCAGAGCTACACTTACGCTGTTGAAGGGTTAAATAAGATTCAACCATTTTGTGATCAGCTATAGTATATATCATTATATTTTTTATTTTTTCTAGATGGCATCTTTAGCCTCCCATCTATACTCCAATAGCTCCACGCTAGTACAACAGTTAGACGACTTGTACGCAGAATACGGGTTCCACGTTACTGAGAACTTTTACTACGTGTGTCATGACCCGCTACCATACTAGGATACTTAGACACATCAAAATGATACTGACTACTTGCTTTACCGGAAAATATTGGAAAAAAGCAACGCGTTAACAATGAATTTTCGTACACTTTTTCTGCCCGCTCAGCGAGTTATTACTTAATGGATTTTTATAGACTTGCCTCGCTCGCTAAGTAGTTCAACAGTAACGAGGTCCATTGTGCTACTTTCTTTAAATAAGATTCAACCATTTTGTGATCAGTTATAGTATATTTCTTTTTATTTTTTTATTTTTCTAGGTGGCATCTTTAGCCTCCCATCTATACTCCAAAGGCTCCACGCTTGTACAACAGTTAGACGACTTGTACGCAGAATACGGGTTCCACGTCACCCAGAACTCGTACTACATATGTCACGACTCCGCTACCATACAGAAGATATTCAGACGGATCAGGAACTACCATGGACTCGGACAGGTATTTGCAATGATTTTCATATTCTATATATATACTAGCTGACCCAGCGAACTTCGTACCGCCCTAAAAAAATAGGGGTTGTCCAGCGGACAAAATTGTGAATCTAAACCATTCTCAGATCCCCTTGAACACACACAAAAAATTTCATCAAAATCGGTCCAGTCGTTTAAGAGAAGTTCAGTGACATACACACTCACAGAAGAATTATATATATAAAGATATAAAACTCAAAGGTGACTGACTGACATAGTGATCTATCAACGCACAGCCCGAACCACTGGATGGATCGGGCTGAAATTTGGCATGCAGGTAGATGTTATGACGTAGGCATCCGGTAAAAAAGGATTTTGATCAATTCTACCCCCAAGGGGATTAAATACCTAAGCGAAGCGAGGGCGGGCCACTAGTTAGTAAAAAATGTTTAGAATTATAAATCTAGCATTTAAATGCTTAAAAATATAATAAATAATATATTTTTATTTATTTTAGGCTTTATACGCTTTCTTGCGATACCAAAAATGTCACGCGTTGTTGTCTAGCCTGGCCCAATCCCCAACCCCGTGGTGCCTTTGAACCTGCTATTAAGATGACACATCATCAGTGATTTTTTGCAACTATTGATGTTAAGAATTTTTTTTACTAAAAAAAAATTCCACTCTGTCCTAGTTTCAGACAGAATTCAAACCCGCACCTTCCGTCCTCCGGGCGGACGTATTAACGAATAGGGTATTTGACAGTGTTAAAAATGAAGTGCCAATTGGTAGCATCTGTGTTTAGAATGAATATTGGCCCCCTGCCAATATTCATTTACTATTTTTACAAAAAAAAATATTCATAATTTTACTAAAAACTAACGAAAAAGGTAATAGTTTTCTTATCTATTGTTACGTGACCCAAAACGCTTGGGATTGGCGGAGACTAAAATGGCGTCACACGCAAGTAAACTTCCGGTTAAAGTGACATTACATTGTATCGTTTGACGTTTTAATAACAGTCGTGTGACGTCACACACTAGTAAGACGCCATATTGTCCAGAGAAACGTTTTCGCGGCATCTTGAAAATGGAGTTTTTGATTTGGTTATTTTTACTGATTTACAACAACAGAATGATGTATATCCACTTTTTACGGACTCCATAAACATCAGTCAATAACGTGAGAGCGTTTTCTAAAACTTGTCAAATACCCTATTATGCTACTGAGACCTTAATGGCCGAATTTCTTCTAGTATTTCTTAGCCTGCAAGGCAGTTCCATCTAGCCGCAGTAAATTGTTTGCCTTAGCATTATTAATCTAGCAGTTGAAAGTTTAAGAAATAACCACCTACTCTTTCTTTCTTTGCAGTATCCAAAGAAAGTGGGATCTTGTAAGATAGTTTACATGAACGATTTGGCGGCGGGAATCAAGATAAAAGATCGGAAGTCGGAAGTCGCCGATGGAGATGGGCACCTCCGTAAGTAACCATTGCGATTCAACAGAATTATTATTACCTATAATTTTTATTATTTTTAAAGCATGTAACTGCTTGATGTTTAAATCTAAAGAAAATATAACTAGAAAAAATTCCACGCGGACCAGGCAGCAGACGGGACTCGAACCCGCACCCTTCGCAATCCGGGCGAATGCACTGACCAATTATGCTACCGCGGCCCTCACGGACCGCGTCGAAATTCTTTCTAGCTATTCTTAAGCTGCAAGGCAGCGCCATCTCTTCGCATTATAGGTAAACCCACAATTATTACCTACTTTAGAAGTGCAACCTTATTGGATGGGAATTAAGATCAGTCGAAAAGATTCTTGTGAGAAAATCATGAAAGCTTCTATTCATTTCAGTGTCTTTTTACTGGTTACGGTATTAAAGCAAGGTGATATAGCAACTCCTAGAGGCGTAAATTTGCGTAAATATATACACAAAATCAATTCGTAATTTAATTAACTAATACTTTGCAGGAATCCGTCAAGGAGATACGTACACGAGATATTTTAAATACGAAACTACATGCCTGCGCTGCAAGCCTAACTACTTTTTCAATGAATTATAGCAGATAGGGGATTGTTGGCTACTTTTAGCGGAAAATTAGTGAAACCAATTGTTCTACGCACACAAAGTCATAGCACGAGAGGAACGATTTGTGTATTTGTAACGAAAATACCTAAAACTACAAGATTCCTAGGCTTTGTTCTATCACGTTAGAAGAAACCACGCCTCGGTAAAGATGTACTGGCACGGGCTTAGATCCAGTACCCTTAGCACGAACCAATATCGAATTCGAATAGTTTGCGAGTCCGAAATGTCTATGTCAAATTTTGTATGGAAACTTGAACAGCCGCGCCACTGGACGTAACGGGAACTTAAAATCAGTACACATTTAACAATGACATTTCGGACTCGCAAACGTTACGAATTCGATTTTGGTTCGTGCTAGGGGTACTGATTTTAAGTTCGCGTTAGGTCCGTTGTGGCGCTGCCTGCTGTTCAAATTTCCATACAAAATATGACAAAGACAAACTACGTCTAATGTGTACTGATTTTGAATTTTCGTTACGTCCGTTGTGGCGTTGCTGTTCAAGTTTCCATACAAAATATGACAAAGACACACTACGTCAAATGTGTACTGATTTTAAGTTCTCGTTACGTCCTTTGAGGCGCTGCCGTTCAAGTTTCCATACACAATTTGACAATGACATTTCAGACACGCAAACGTAATGAATTCGATATTGATTCGTGCTAAGGGTACTGGATTTGAGACCTAAAATGCGGACAAAGAGAGGAGCTCGAGGGCTGCGATCGTTGAAGTTAAGCAACTTTCGCAGTGGTCGGTCATTGGATGGGTGACCAATAATCTTCTATCTCGAGATCATTCGTGCTTCAGAGCACGTTAAACCGTTGTTCCCGGCTGCATCTGCAGTCGTTAGCACCCGCCAATCCGCACTGAGCCCGTATGGTGGGTCATGGCCCAATCTCCGTATTCCATCCATAGGGAAGGACTGTGCCCCAGCAGTGGGGACATTAATAAGCTGATGATGATGATGCAGACAAAGAACAAACTGAAATTATTATCCTCGTAGCATGAGCATCATCAGACAGAATGACAGCTAGGTGTTGATCTTTACTTGAGTACAGTTAGAAAGGGATGTCGCTATGTGCTATATATAGCGACATCCCTTTCTAACTGCTCAAGACTAGATCAATCACTGAGAATCTTTCTACAATACGGGACTTAATCACATTTTTATTGCGTGTTACTGTTAAACTCTATAGTACTTAACAATTGAGCGTGGTGATCATGTTACGGGGGTTGGACCGATATAAAAAAATCCTTTACCATTGCAAAGCTACATTATTCCTGAAAGATGTAGGTCATAAATATTTCGGCGGATCGCTGGTTAAAAGCGGACGCGACCTGAGAGACATTTAAGAAATAGGTATTTGAAGAAACTATTGCTGTCACGCAATTGTCAAATACCGTGCGATAGGGACGCAGTTAACGCTAATACTCCTCGAAAATAAGATGTATGTAAAATAATTTTTACACAAAGAATAATATATAGTTATACTATGCCTCTATGTATTGATTTTTTTGTAAATTTTTAAATCTCCACGCTATTGGTGACAAAAATTTGTGTATTGTTTGCCTTTTTCGAGGGCTTCTAGATACTTTTAAAACACAAGTTATCCAAAAAAGGAAGACATAGGAGCATAGAATGAGCAAAATCATATTTTATGTATGAAAATCAATTCTTTAGTAATACAAAATCGAGTAGGAATCAATCGAGAATGTTTGTATGGAAAAAACATAGTATGCCTCCCCCCTTCTTAATAAATAAGCCCCTCATTCTCGCACAGATGTGCTGGGCACTGGCTTAGACCAGGAGTCCTACACGAGCGGGGAGATGGTGATGTTCCGCTGCGATAACGGGCTCAGCGTCACCGTGCGTACTAGCGGTACTGAGCCCAAACTGAAATACTACTCGGAGCTGGTGTGCCAGGCTAAAAATCACAGGTTAGTGCCGACAATCTTTACAGGAAAAATGTAGAAATTAGAATACAAACAACTTGCATGGTTGACTTAGAGCACGAGATTTAACGAACTCTAGCTGAAATACTACTCGGAGCTGGTGTGCCAGGCTAAAGATCACAGGTTACTGCCGACAATCTTTACAGGAAATGTAGAAATGAGAATACAAACAACTTGCTTGGTTGACTTAGAGCACGAGATTTACCGAACTCTAGCTGAAATACTACTCGGAGCTAGTGTGCCAGGCTAAATATCACAGGTTAGTGCCGATACCCTTTACAGGAAAAATGTAGAAATTAGAGTACTAACAACTTGCTTGGTTGACTTAGAGCACGAGATTTAACGAACTCTAGCTGAAATACTACTCGGAGCTGGTGTGCCAGGATAAAGATCGCAGGTTACTGCCGACAATCTTTACAGGAAATGTAGAAATGAGAATACAAACAACTTGCTTGGTTGACTTAGAGCACGAGATTTACCGAACTCTAGCTGAAATACTACTCGGAGCTAGTGTGCCAGGCTAAATATCACAGGTTAGTGCCGATACCCTTTACAGGAAAAATGTAGAAATTAGAGTACTAACAACTTGCTTGGTTGACTTAGAGCACGAGATTTAACGAACTCTAGCTGAAATACTACTCGGAGCTGGTGTGCCAGGATAAAGATCACAGGTTAGTGCCGACACCCTTTAACAGGAAAAATGTAGAAATTAGAATACAAAGGAATTACCTAGTTGATCTCTGAAAGCAAAGCAGTGTAATGGTGACAATACAATCAGGTTATTGGTAGCATTCCTAACAGAGGAGGATTCTACTCGAGAGGTCCCGGGTTGGAATCCCGGTGGGGGCAGATGTTTATGTGATAATTTCGCGCATTTGTACTCCAGTCATCGATGATTAACATGCATTTCTATATAAATATACTTATATATGTACTGTATATGTATTTTATATCCGTTACACTAGTATCCCATAACACAAGTCTTACAGTGCTTACTATTGCTTAAAGCTAAGCTTTTTGGTGGGAGTGTTGGAAATATTTATTTATTTATTATTATTATTATTATATATATATATATATATGTTGACACCGTACTAAATGTATGAAACCGATAGATACATTTCTGACGCGTCACGATACAACACTACAGACAAGTATTATTTTTATTTATTTATTCCTTTCCTTTTCCTAACAACAATTTTCTCACCCATAGCAACAGCTAATTTAGATGCAGTTTATTAAACCAGTAACTTTTTAAGTACTGACAGCCACAGGTCAAGTTGTGGTTACTTATTGTGTGGCTGACTGTACCAAGAAAATAAACGATCACTTAAATATAACTCTTTTTCAGGGAACAAGAAAGTGCTAAGCAGAAGTTAAAGGAGATCGTGCAAGAGTTCATTGACGAACTTATTCAGCCCAAAGAAAATGGTCTACTATCTTAATTTAATTTGGAAATTACGCACATTCGATAGATATGTAAGTAAAACAATTAATTTTATTCACTAAGATCAAAAATGTATTAGCTATCAAATTAATTAAGATTCCTAAAAGAATGAATGTTGATAGGTTGATTAAAAAAAAACATTGAATTCTACCAACATCGACGTTTAGAAACAATTACACTCACAATCAGGTTACAAAACTGTCAGAAGCAAAATTACGCACCTTCATCTAAAGTGTGTAGTTTTCAAACAGTCGTGTTTGAAAATTCTCGCTCGTATACAATCGACATTGAATCTTACTGCCACGACGTAATTTGTTAATTTGAACAAATAACTCAAGTAGTTAAACGTTATGTCTACTAATCCTAAATATGCTATCCTATCGATAAGAGATGCCTAAATGTTTGTAAAATTATTAGAAAACAATATTCGAGTTTAGATATTGCACATTATTTTTGGCCAGTGAAACAATTCTAGTGTATTCTATATACATAACTTTTGACCGTGGTTGAATGGTGCTATACTTAGTGAGAGAATAATAAAAATACTGATAATGTAGTAGATCCAATAACTTCAGTCTATATTTTCTATATAAATTATGGTTTATAGTAACGACGCATTTTTTTCTAATGGGTTAGTAATAGTAGTCTGATTAAATTTGCAATTAAAATTTTAGTTGTCAGAATAATATAATAAAGCAGCATTTAGTATTTTTAAAACAACTTTGAAATTTTCTACGAGTTTAATAGTGGCAGCTTGCATTTTCTATATTTTTTCTTTGCTGTCTTCTACTGATGTAGTAGATGTGATCATCTAGAAGTGCAACTTATTAATATCGAGTAGATATTATACAACTTTTTTTTTAATTCGATTTGTTGTCGTTACTTTTCGTCAAACAAGTGTCGTGATGTATTTTATGCCAATACTTTACCATAAAATGATTCAATAATGTATCCTAATGACACCATGTTACTATAAAAGGTGAATTGCATTGTTTAGGCTTTTAATGGTTCACGAAATTATCTCCATTTGTATTTATTCATTGTGCACCTTTGAAATTTTTTAATTACTATTATTATTTAAGTACTTTTTGTAAACCATTTAATTATATTTAACATGACATATCAACTTCATCGTGTAATATCAAAAATCAAGGTGGATTTACAATGAACACATAATTTGGTGTCATACATTATATAATTTATTATTTTTAAGCCAAAGAAATTTCTGTGACTAATATATTATGATCCTGTGATAGAAAGTGAATTACTTATTATTAGCATTTAATATAGTCATTTATATATTATATTTCCATATTACACATGTGTGAGTGTATACAATATAGGTAGGTGTGTACTTAATAAAATAATTCACATTAAATGTATAATATTTTTGAAATATCATACCAATGTTTATCTAACTAAAAAAAACTATATGGAAATAAAATGTTTATAAAACATTTAATTAGCAGCACTCACGACAATTTTAATAAAAGAATTAAAATTTATGATACTCTTTTTATTTATATATAATATTCTATAAATAATGATACGGAAAAATCTTCCTAAATGAAAACAAAATCATGGTAAAATACACTTATAATTTTAAATAGCATCAACAAAAGTACATGAAATGAAGTCCCAGATCATAAAATCACTAGCTGCCTTATTATAAAACGTTGAATAAAGTTAAATCTGTACCCTTAGCACAAACCAATATCGAATTCATAACGTTGGCGAGTCCGAAATGTCTTTGTCAAATGTATACTGATTTTAAGGTCTCGTTACGTAGTTTGCGGTGCTGCTGTTCATTTTTCCATACAAAATTTGACATTGTCATTTAGCATTCGCAAACTATTCGAATTCTATAATGGTTCGTGCTAGGGGTTCTGGTCTAAAACAGAAGCCCAAACACGAATGTTGATAGTTCCGTAATCGTATCGGCATCGTCAAGTTTTGTATGGAAGGAGCCAGTTTGTTCTTACGTCTGTTAGAGGCGCTGCTTAGTTCTCATAGAAACAATTTGACAATGCTATACGATTAAGGAGATGTCAAAACTTATACTTGGGCCTCTGTTGCTGGTACTTTTGCTATAAAGAAGACAGACAGTATTAGGTGACTAACTATAGTCCATTAGCAGTATTTAAAATGGTCCATAAATATGAAGACATGTGATTTGACGAATGAGTAGAGCTTTCGTCTCAGTACTGCCGCCTGGTGCACTTCATTCCAAAAACCCTCATTACAAAACTTTCAAGCGGCTCAACAAATATGAGCAAGCGCATTGAGCCACTAAACGCGACTACTAGTGGCTCAGTCAAGCCACTAGACGCAGCCGCCAATCGAATCGAGAGAAATCGAGTGGCTGCCACTAAGCCGTTAGTGGCCGCCACTATTAATGACTCAATGTGCGCTTGCTTTTTCAGTTATCGACTACACAATATTGTGAACTTTGTTAAATAAAAAGAGTTGTTAATTATTTTCTTCGTTGTCGTTAGCTTCGGCCGCAACGGCCTCGGCCTCCAGTCGCAGTCGCTCCCTCTCTTTGAAGTTCAGCTCGATCAAGTTGTCTAGCTCCGGACTCAGTAGAACGGACAGACCCGCCGTTATTGGCACCTAGTATAGTAATTATAGAGAGACAACGATAGTACCACACACTAATAAAAAATGATATCGAATACGAGCTGCACTAAAAATTGGTTCCACGCAAACTGCGATCAAGTGGGCGGAGTGGAAAAACTGCGATGAACACGCCGATAGTGGGATTGTTTGGGATTTCCGTTTATCATTTATTACCTTACCCAATGAATGGATAGCCGAATTCAATTGCAGATTTTTGATATGTCAATGTATCTTGTCTCGTCTGTATGCATGTGGCGTTTATGTTGAAGTTTAGTTTTACGTGTTTGTTTTAGCGGTCTTCGTTAGAATACCAGAAGAATACTGGAAGAAGTAATGCTTCCATATAATTTGAATTCGTTGAGTATCACACGAATAGTCATCACCACGCAGGCCCATGGCCGATTGGTGGCTGCATTTGATTGAAGATGCGGTCAGGACCAACGGCTTAAAGTGTCTTCCGAAGCACGGAAGAGCCCGATATAATAATTTTTTGGTCACCCAACCGATAAGCGGCTATTACGAAAGTTACCTAGTTTGCCTAGGGTAATACTACACACTAAATGATATTGAGACAATGCTATTTAGGCAGTGTAGAGCGGCATGCTATTTCGTTACTGCTTTTGAAAGGCGATGGAGTTTATAGCAATATTGTTATTTATTCCAAATCCTTCGTGTACTGAAATATTTAGCCAAAGCATGCTCGGTTGCCGTCAGCCAAAGAATATGGTCAAAACAAATTTAATGTAAAAGAATGAGTTTGACATTCACTACTTCCTATATACCAGGGGTGGCCAACCAGTCTATTAGTTCAGTCGATCGTGGCAAGGCAAAGAATATAAATAAGTAAACAGATTGTGCATGCAAATGTCCCGGAATTGATAATCCAGCATCTGGCAACCCTAGTGCTGACCAATTGGGAGCAGGCAACTATACATCCCGTTTTTAATCTACTATATTATAATTCTTCTCACCACTTTGGCTCTTTTATACTAAATCGAATACATCGTCACATCTACGCCAAACTTACGAATCTGCTTTTTTAAGTAAAAATCTATAATAAAAAACTGCACATAATGGGGTACTTAATACCAGGGAAAAGTCACACAATTGTATCAATGTCGGTTCCAAAAGTCTGATTGTTTGAATCTGCATTTTATGTTTATACACCCAAAGTAAACTTACTAAATTAATATACAATATTTTGGCGTAGAAAGTTTTATGAAATTCAAATTCATAAGTTTACTATGGATGTGACGACATCAGTCTTGGACTATAATAATATAGTCGTAGTTGATGTGTTAAATTACCTCAGCAAAAATTGGTTTCGCTGCATCCCACCTCTCGATGTGGTTTTCTATTATTTTAATGGACGGTGCTGCTTTTGGTAGCATTCTGCCGAGTGTTCTGTGCAAATTTAACATAGCTATTATTCTTTTTGTCTGGGTGTATGTAATTGAACTTCTCCTAAACTAGGTACTGGACCTATAATAGTGCTATTCAAAGTAACTCAAACAGCGGCACACAAGTGGCGATCAAGAACTGTATCTCCAGTTCTTCATACCAGAGTATGAAGCACTTGCCGTGGTCCTTGCTCGAAAAACTCCGTCAAAACTGCCGCCTGTTAGAATCAACGCCTGCTATAATAGTGCTATTCACACTAACTCAAACAGCGGCACACAAGTGGCGATCAAGAACTGTATCTCCAGTTCTTCATACCAGAGTATGAAGCACTTGCCGTGGTCCTTGCTCGAAGAACTCCGTCAAAACTACCGCCTGTTAGAATCAACGCCTGCTATAATAGTGCTATTCAAACTAACTCAAACAGCGGCACACAAGTGGCGATCAAGAACTGTATCTCCAGTTCTTCATACCAGAGTATGAAGTACTTGCCGTGGTCCTTGCTCGAAGAACTCCGTCAAAACTGCCGCCTGTTAGAATCAACGCCTGCTATAATAGTGCTATTCAAACTAACTCAAACAGCGGCACACAAGTGGCGATCAAGAACTGTATCTCCAGTTCTTCATACCAGAGTATGAAGCACTTGCCGTGGTCCTTGCTCGAAAAACTCCGTCAAAACTGCCGCCTGTTAGAATCAATGCCTGCTATAATAGTGCTTTTCAAACTAACTCAAACAGCGGCACACAAGTGGCGGTCAAGAACTGTATCTCTAGTTCATCATACCAGAGTATGAAGCACTTACCGTGGTCCTTGCTTGAAGAACTCCGTCAAAACTACCCGCCTGTTAGAATCAAAACCTACTATAATAGTGCGGTTCAAACTAACTCAAACAGCGGCACACAAGTGGCGATCAAGAACTGTATCTCCAGTTCTTCATACCAGAGTATGAAGCACTTGCCGTGGTCCTTGCTCGAAAAACTCCGTCAAAACTGCCGCCTGTTAGAATCAATGCCTGCTATAATAGTGCTTTTCAAACTAACTCAAACAGCGGCACACAAGTGGCGGTCAAGAACTGTATCTCTAGTTCATCATACCAGAGTATGAAGCACTTACCGTGGTCCTTTCTTGAAGAACTCCGTCAAAACTACCCGCCTGTTAGAATCAAAACCTACTATAATAGTGCGGTTCAAACTAACTCAAACAGCGGCACACAAGTGGCGGTCAAGAACTGTATCTCCAGTGCTTCATACCAGAGTATGAAGCACTTGCCGTGGTCCTTGCTCGAAGAATTCCATCAAAACTGCCGCCTGTTAGAATCAACGCCTGCTATAATAGTACGGTTCAAACTAACTCAAACAGCGGCACACAAGTGGTAGTCAGGAACTGTATCTCCAGTTCTGGTATGAAGCACTTGTCGCGGTCCATTATAACTGGTGGTAAGTCGCCGCGGCTCTTCTCCACGTCGCCTTGCTTGAAGAACTCCGTCAAAACTGCCGCCTGACAGAATCAAGAATCAATCAGAATTTTTGGAGCAATTATAAAAATGTATTCGCGCTATATCTGCAGTTCATTACTAAGAAGCGATCGGCATACCCTTAGAGTATTGTTTCCGTCAATTATAGTGATCGCTTTCCGTATGTGAAACATTCACTCCCCTGTCTCATGTAGTTATTGCTCATATCATCAGGTAGTAATTTACAGTTTCACGCAGGATGAAGTAACTCACCTCACCATTTTTTTTTTGTTAATGTCATTCACTCGTTTGGGAAACGACACAGACAATATTAAAGCAGTTTTTTCAGATTTTAATGTTTACCCTGTCCTGTCTGTCTGAAGTTCTGTCCCAAGAACGAAGGAAAAGAAAACGAGCCTTAAGAAGTTATTGGAAGTTTCTTTCCACTAATACTTAATTCTTTGATAAGGAAGTAGAAATCGCCTCAGAGGTCCCCCTTATACACATGCTACTTTTAAAAATACCTGGTATAGTTCAATCCAGCTCATTATAACTAACAATGACAGATTCAGGTCTTGATGCTTCAATTAACCGAAACCTGTTTTGATCGCTTGTCAAGAGCAAGGAGAAAAAAAAATACTACGTCATTCCACGCGGACTAGGCAGCAAACGGGATTCGAACCCGCACCCTTCGCCATCCGGGCGAATGACTGACCATTATGCTACCGCGGCTCTGATGGCCGTGTCGAATTTTCTCTATTATTTCTTAAACTGCAAGGCAGCGCCTTCTCTTCACATTGTAGGTACCTGTGAACACTTTTACAAGTATTCAACATTTGAAAAAAGAAATAGCAATCATAGTTATTTAGTTTTTAAGCATTAACTACTAATAAAATAAAATTCTAGTAAATCTTTTTCTAGATATAAACATCTGGCAGTTCAATGCTTAAAAAAATAAAAAATATTACTATGATTACATCAGTCTACACGAATTTTGAGTCCAAGTTCTTTGTACAGGATTTTGATTTTATAAACCTAATTAATTTAAGAAACCATAATTTTTATTTTAAATAGTTAGCTTTTGTAGCTATCAGAATCAAATTTTAAATTTCATAGAAAATTGCTAATTTTTTTCTTCGAGTTGTATATAACAAGAAACTAATCATTTATTTAAATCCCTTAAGAAGCCAAGTCTATAAAGTATAATATAATACAAAAAAGATTGATTTAGTAAAAAAAATGATATTTTTAGCTTCTTTTTCGTCCATCCCTGTTCCCTTTATTTGGGGTCGGGTCTCCTCACTCTCTTGCGCCAGGATAATCTATCCTGGGTTGTCAGTTTCGGCAATTGGGCTTCCTTGAGATCTCTCTCTATCTTGGACCACCGGGTCAGTGGCGGGCGTCCTCTACCTTTCTTACGCACTGGCAGTTTCAGTGCGATCCGTACAACGTGATCTTCACTTTTTCTTTTGACATGTACGTGTACCATCTCAGTTGGTTTCAGTGAGTTTTTCGGTTATTGGTGGGTACTTTGAAGCTGTCCTCTTCTATACTCTTTACGCACTTTGTCATGTCGGGTTACACCGCCGGCCCATATCAGTATTTCATTTCATTGACATACATTTTCTGCTCATGGGTCATCTTCACTGTCCAGCATTCGGATACAACTACAGCATTGTACAATAGCATTGGGCGGACCGCAGTTTTATACACTATGCATTTTGTTTTAATAGGCATACGGGGATCGCAGAATACTCCTGAGTGTTCTCCATTTCAGCTATGCAGCATTTACCCTATAAGTGACGTCCTCATCAACGTTAGCATCGGGGCTCAGTTTAGACCCCGAGCATATTTTTCTGTCTCAAATCTATATATTTTTTTTATTAAATATTACACTTAAAATGACACGTATTTTATGTAACACTTCCTAATTCATTCACAACTTTTTTTTACATATGAAATAAAATATTTACAATGACAAAACTAGAAAGAAACTCAATTATGTAGATGAAATTAAAATACTGTAGGCGGGCAACCCTACCGCATGGTTACGCCCCGCTCGTCCGTAGGCAGTTATTTCAAGGACAGGGCCGAGTCACAATACTGTATAGATAATATTACCGTGACCGTAGTCCCTCAGCCTTATACAGAAATCATACGTTTTTATTTATCATTGAACAAATCACCAAAGCAAACATTTTTAAATAAAAATGAGGTTTCTGGTTATTTTTCAATGTAGACAATCAGACAATAGTCAATAAATAACAGACTCAAAAATTGTTTGTTGATTTTGTTCTCACAACTAACATAGTACTAATATTCATCTAAGTAATACTAATATACTTAAATAGGACTACTTGAAATACGCACACCGGTATGCTTAACGCTGCCCCAATCCTTGAGCTGATCGCTGAGATCAGCCGCGTTCATCAATAAAGCTTGCAACGCAGTCGTGTGCAATCGGTTACCCTTCTGGAAGTCCATTGCGATAATCTTGTACTCGTTTAGGTTCCTGGCAAAGTAAAAACATTTCTATTTCTTTTTTTTCACGTTTCACGCACACTAACTATTCAATGAAACACTTTTTGAACGGGTTTAAAATGCGTTATTATTTATACATTATTCTTGAAGTTTTGGACCCTTTACAGCTCCATGGTGGCAAGACAGTTTTTTGCTGAACTCTAAAATTAATTAGCCATATTGATGTTTTATAGTGAGCACGCAAGCGCAAAAAAATACTTGAAATAATTGGCCAAATCCGTAGCTAGAATGTAGTCCCTGAGAAACATGAGCAACCCTGTCATAGTCTTTCCTCGGCAGCGTTTCCAGACATCCTTCAGTGTTAAGATGACATCTCCAGAATATCGGATACCTACCTAACAAAACGGAAGTCGCAAAATATTCATATCTTATAAACTTACTTGTAATAATAAACTAAATTTGTAGACAAGATATAATCCCTGAGCAGCATGCCTCACCCTTCCGTGTTAAAGCACATTGTCTGGGTGATTAGTCCTTCCTTAGTAGATCCATCAAGATGTCAGATACTCTTCAAACCGGAAGTCCCAAGATATTCATTCCTTATGAACTTACTTGAAATAATTGGCCAAATCCGTAGCCAGAATGTAGTCCCTGAGAAACACGAGCAACCCTGTCATAGTCTTTCCTTGGCAGCGTTTCCAGACACCCTACAGTGTTAAAAAGGCATCTCCAGGATATGGGATACCTTTCAAAACGGAAGTCCCAAGATATTCATTTCTTATGAACTTACTTGAAATAATTAGCCAAATCCGTAGCCAGAATGTAGTCCCTGAGAAATACGAGCAGCCCTGTCATAGTCTTTCCTCGGCAGCGTTTCCAGACATCCTACAGTAGTAAGAAGGCATCTCCAGGATATGGGATACCTTTTAAAACGGAAGTCCCAAGATATTCATTTCTTATGAACTTACTTGAAATAATTGGCCAAATCCGTAGCCAGAATGTAGTCCCTGAGAAACATGAGCAGCCCTGTCATAGTCTTTCCTCAGCAGCGTTTCCAGACATCCTACAGTATTAAGAAGGCATCTCCAAGATATCGGATACCTTTCAAAACGGAAATCCCAAGATATAAATTTCTTTATAAACTTACTAGAAATAAGTAGCCACGATGTAATCGCTGAGCAGCATGTCACAACCTTCAGTGTTAAAGCACATTGTCTGGGTGATTAATCCTTCCTTAGTAGATTCTCCAAGATATCGGATACCTTTCAATGCGGAAATTCCAAGATATTCATTTCTTATGAACCTACTTGAAATAATTGGCCAAATCCGTAGCCAGGATATAATCTCTGAGCAGCATGAGTGCTCTATCGTAGTCTTTCCTTGGTAGCATTTCCAGAATGTCACATCCTTCAGTGTTGATGATGCATATTGCTTGAGCGAGATGATGCCGTTCCATCACACTACCCTCGCTGGAGTATAACGCTGCTAGGGTGGTTTCTACAGAGGTAGTTTATTTGGTAAGTTCTTTTTCTTTTTGTTATTACTGTACATAGAGCCAGGGTGTCGATTCTGCTACAGTTTTGACATTTGACACATTTATTATCACTAACATAAAAATAAAACAAAAATAAATATGCTTCCTCATTTGTGAGTATTTGTTATTTTATGTTTTAATAACAAGAATAGTGTTTGTGATTGTTTGACTTGATAATATTCTCCAAACATAAAACAAACTTTGCCAACAGTCTCCCCTTTTTATTCACTATAAAATATTATATTATAACTATGAGGAGCTCGATGGCGCAAGTGGTTACCGCATTCGGCTGCAATCGTTGAAGTTATGCAACTTTCGCAGTGGTCGGTCATTGGATGGGTGACCGAAAATTTACTATCTCGAGCTCCTCCGTGCTTCGGAAGGCACGTTAAGCCGTTGGTCCCGGCTGCTTCTGCAGTCGTTAGCACCCGCCAATCCGCACTGGGCCCGCGTGGTGGGTCATGGCCCAATCCCCCTATTCCATCCATAGGGAAGGCCTGTGCCCCAGCAGTGGGGACATTAATAGGCTGATGATGATGATGATGAAAAAATTATGATGTTATAACTGTTGTTATAAATGTAATTTTACGCTTAGAGGATCATGCCTCAATCAGGTCCATTAATAGATATATCAACGATTATCATATTATGTTCCCATATTATTACACGAAGACTAAGCTTCGATTAGTTACTCCATGTTTAGTCTTTGTTAATTGAATGGCATATGGTAGGTATTTCAGTGGCATGAACAAAACATGGCGTAACTATTCTAAGCTTGTGACGTATTCTATGCTCCTCGTATTTCCTCAAAATCATCAATCAATTTGGAATCGGTTTTTAATTTATTGCAAACTGTTAACAAATAAAAACTAACGCCCTTGAATGTGGAAACTGTTCGTAGTGCCGCGATGATCTAAATCGTGCACAAGAGCCGCCACTAGATACATCAACGCTTGCAAATCACTGAAAACAATACATATTATGCTTAAGAGGTGAAGCGGCAATGTTTTTTCCATACAAACGTTCTCGACTGATTCCTCCTTGATTTTTAGCACTAAAGAGTTGATTTTCATTTTTTTATACTCATTCTATGCTCCTTTGTCTTTATTTTTTCGATAACTTGTGTTTGAAAAAAACTACATAGAAGCCCCCAAAAATGACAAAAATAAACAAATTTTTATCACAACTAAGGCGTCGAGATTTAATAAGCATTTACAAAAAAAGCATTCAATTCATAGAGGCATAGTCTAATTACTTATTATTCTATGGGTATAATCCTATTATATTTAATTTTCGATAAGGAAATCGTCGAGAGCCAAACCTCGAATTATGCAATTTTTATACGGCATTTTCAGCGTTAACTATTGTCGTCTTTTTTGAAATACCTAGTTCTCAAAAGTCTCTCAGCTCGCGTCTGCCCTTAAGACTAAGTTAAAAGATTACCACTTACGTATTTTTTTTTGGAGTAAGCATAAGAACGATAAATTTGAAAAGTAACAAATGTCTATATATCGCTTATTCAGTTTAGACTGTAACAAACATTTCAAAGCCAAAAGGTTTCGTAATTCTACAGCGGGCGGAATGTTTACAGGAGACAAAACAGTTATTTTCCCCCTATTTTGTTTTCCTTTCATAAATCGTAAGTCAGAAATACTCCAAACAAAGTATAGCGTGAGCAAAAATAACTTATGTTTAAAAGAAAAAACATACCTAGGTACGTAATAACTAAAAATCACAAAACGGATAAGATAGGTACGGTACGGAAATCAAGAATTGCGTCTATAAATGGTGGCTTTATCATCGCGCAGGTTGCTGTCAACAAATTCCACGTTAGCGAGAAAACAAGTAAAAAATACTTCAGTTATCCATCAGCCACGAACCTGAAGCTCACCATCGCCGCGTAAGCTCATTGACCGACATTAAAGGCAGGTTATAAGCTGTGAAACGGAAAACAAGAGGAGGAAAATTAGTATCAAACTCACTCCAGATATCCGTCAGTGTTGAGTCTGAAGTTTACCCATTGAGCGACATTAAAGGCAGGTAATATGCTGTGGTACGAAAAACAAGAGGAAGAATATTACTATCATACTCACTTTAGATATTCTTTACCATTGCCGCATAAGCCCATTAAGCAACATTAAAGGCATGTACTAAACTGTGAAACGGAGAACAAGACGAGGGAAATTACTAAAAAACTCACTTTAGATATCCGAGACCATTGCGGCTTAAGCCCATTGAGCAACATTAAAGGCACGTAAAAAGCTGTGGTTCGGAAAACAAGAGAAGGAAAATGACTAAAAAACTCACTTCAGATACCCGTCAGTGACGAGCCTGAAGCTCATCATCGCAGCATAAGCCCATTGAGCAACATTAAAGGCACGTAAAAAGCTGTGGTTCGGAAAACAAGAGAAGGAAAATGACTATCAAACTTACTTCAGATATCCGTCAGTGACGAGCCTGAAGTTTACCATCGCCACGTAAGACCATATATAGCCGTGGTACGCAAAATAAGAGGAGGAAAATTACTATCAAACTCACTTAAGATATCCGCCACTGACGAACCTGAAGCTCACCATCGCCGCGTGAGCCCATTGAACATTAAAGGCAGGTTATAAGCTGTGAAACGGAAAACAAGAGGCAGAAAATTACTATCAAACTCACTTAAGATATCCGCCACTGACGAACCTGAAACTCACCATCGCCGCGTAAGCCCATTGAGCGACATTAAAGGCAGGTTATAAGCTGTGAAACGGAAAACAAGAGGAGGAAATTACTATCAAACTCACTTCAGATATCCGTCAGTGACGAGCCTGAAGTTCACCATCGCAGCATAAGCCCATTGAGCAACATTAAAGGCATGTATCCAACTGTGGTAGGGCACATCTCTGTAGCCTTTCTTCACGTATAAAATAAAACGCGTCAGCTTTTGGTCAGAGATGCTGAATCTGGAGAGGAAAAAGTAGAAACTGCCATTATTCTATTCCCGTTGCAAAAAGAAGCCTTGATGGTTTTGCTTCTATATACTGATGTCAATTACAAGCAGTGTTGCCAGGTGTTCGGTATATTAGAACCGCGTTCGGTGTTCGGTATGACAAAAATACCGAAGTATGGACGGTTCGGTATATTTTTTCTGATTAATTTTACTCCCTTATATACGCAATCGGCAGTAAATGTTGCGTAGCATCCCTACTTAGTTTGTGTTATATTGCCGCTTTGTGCACGCGTTCACTGTTTTTGAGCCATTTCGTGGATTGCGGATCGTGCATGCGGATGGCAGTACCATGTAGTAATGCTTATGTGGAAAGAGTATTTAGCCATATGAATCATTTGTTTACTGACAACCGTAATAATCTGATATGTCGTGAAATGCATGGGACAGTTAAAGAAAATAAGACATTGCTAGAAGCGTGCATTAGTGAAAAAAGACAATTTTTATAATTTAGGTTAGCTAGTTAATCTTGTGCAATGGTACTTTGTATTTAATAAATAATGATTAAACTGTTTTTTTTTTTTGCTCACTGTTCGGTGTATATTTGGAAAAGACCTGGCAACCCTGATTACAAAGGTCCCTTGAGTCAGAAAAGTATTAAAAATTATCATATTGTGCATTGTTAGATTCCGCATTACTGTTTAGTAAATTTATTGTTTAAAGATCTCCGTGGCCGAGTGGTTTGTACACCTGATTTCATGGTGCCGCCTACTCGGGAGGTCCCGGGTTCGAAGCCTGTCAGGCCGATGGGGGCAGATGTATGTGTGATGAATAAGAGCATTTCTAGTCCAGGCATGTCTGTTTAAAATGTATTTTTATATAAATACTAGCTGTCCCAGCGAACTTCGTACAGCCATATAAACCGTACCGTTGGTGGTAGAAGGGTGAAAATTTAGGGTTGTATGTATTTTTGTATGATGTATCATAAAAAATAAAAACAAAAAATGTTGTCCAAAAAACCAATTAATGGTGTACCACCCTTAACATTTAGGGGGATGAAAAATAGATGTTGTCCGATTCTCAGACCTACATACTGAATATTCATTTAAAGGACATTGGGCAAAAATGTATGAGCGCTGCACCCACGTCCGCCACGGCTTAAACTACATTTGTTTGAAAGGTATTATAGTCATGATCATCTGTGCCAAAGCACATCAAATTCCATCCCGAGGGTCTTTAGTTATTTTAAGTTAAATGTGTACAAGTACTATAACGAACGAACATTAATGAAACAAGGGAATTAACATAGTTAGTTAGTTCGACTCTACATAGGGTGCTCTGGAATTATGGGAGTACTTCACAAGGTGCAAGGGTGCCCCCATATGTTATTCTGCCGTGCTAGAGTAAATCCAAACATCCCCGCATGGGTTGTTTTTTTTAAAACATTCAAACATTCTGTTCGTTAAAGTAAATTGTCTTTTATGTAAAATGGAGCGACCACAGATTACACAAACTTGTCCACGCTTCGCAGAACACATGATTCCAGTTCATCCATACTAATTGACAAAACCGATAATCGTGTTCTAATTTCCAAAGCGTGTTAGATAAAAAACAATCAAGTAGCAGGGAGTTCACAATCAAACGAAGTAAGACGAGTCGACTATTTGCAACTGCAAGTCCTTCATTTTCCGTAAACCGTTTTGAAATGTCTCAGTAAGAGCAAGTGCAGGATGGTCGGCAGGCTTTGTCGTATATCTGGTTGTATAGTACGATATGGCATATTATTATGATTACTAATAATATAAAATGAAGGTATTATAAAATGAATTTATTCAGCTACTTAAATATGCCCATGTGTCATATCTATTGACTACCAGGATATTTTTTACGGTGTCATATCTTTTGAGTCCCAGGATATTTATTTTTGGTGTCATAATAAAAGAGGCTAGTTTTTCATAGATCTATCGATTCATACTTATTACATTGTTGGTGGAGCTGGGTGCGTTTTGCCCATTGTCCTTTCACGAAAATTGTTTGAACCGTTTCGGAACGCCGATTATCCGAATTAATTGAGACCGGGGTCGATTCGGATAATCGAAAATTCCAATAATCGGACACACAACACAAAGTCTGTATGACCTGTGACCAGAGCCCTCTTTCCCAGTGGGCACTTTGGGCAAGTGCCCAGGGCCCCGCGATCGATAAGGGCCCCCCCTCAGATCAAATACAAGGTCCCTAGTTCCTGTTAAATCACCAAACGGGGGTCGTAGGGGCCCCATTATCCTGATATGCCCAGGGCCTCCAATAGGTCAAAAAGGGCACTGCCTGTGACTTATTTAATTTATTTTGATGTTGTGTTATATTAAACTAATGGGTTTTATTAATAAAATAACTTACTTTCTGTCAAACTTGAGGTCCTTAAACATTTTGAGGACGTAGCACGGCAGCTCCCTTAGCGGTAATGCGCGCGGGTTAAAATGCAAACTAGCCAAGTGTGGGTGGTTGTGGTATCCGGTACAATCCAGAATGCGATCCACTTCCGAGTCTCCTACCTGTGAATGCGAATGAACCAAGTATGTTTTTTCGTGCTTTCTAATTCGCAGAATGAGACAAAAGACAGACGAAGGCACATATGTACGATCAGCCAATTTGATTCCGGAACCACCATAAGCCTATTTTGTTACAACCATTGCAAAACAATAGGGTAGATTTTTGCTTAAATATACGTATCCGTGGACTATTGAGTCTTTTATCAATAAATCTTCGTCAAACGCGGAAGGTAATGACGTTATTTCACTGTCAATGATTAAGTTTGACCCTTCCTTTCTCCTTGGATGCTATGATATACGGATAGTAAATAAATCGCTCCCTTTAGAGTTTAGACCTTAGTCCCTAAAGTGATGCTGATTTATAAATTCGAAGTGACTCTTAAGTCGTCGAATTTATAAATCACCAACCATCTATACTTGTGTCAGACACACAAATCCCTCACGAGCGGTGCGTGAATGACTTGGGGCCAACGATATTAAATACCCTAGATACACCACGTGCGCTCAAAATGTGTCCCAATCAAGAAGTGCTTGAACACGACTCAAGCACTTCTTGATTCACAGTCACGCACGGACAGTTGAAAAGTCAACATGCCGGCTGAGCTCCGTGAAAACAGGCGAAAGAAATACATAAAGAATGTGAAATGTCGTTTTTCGACAAGTATATCGTATTTGAAGTAAATTTTGTTCTAATACTTACTATAAACTGATTTAATAGAAAATTTTAGTGATATTCAAATACATAGTCGATAATATAGCCGTCTCTTTTCCTCGCGGACCGTACCTGCTATATTATTACTAACAGCGCATTCAGAATTTCGCGTACAGTCAAAGAAATAAGGTCTTTGTTCTTCTGCGTATAGCAATAAGTCGTAAAATTTTACGAGCTTACATATCGGATTGTCATAACTCTATGACGCGTGCGTTTTAATTAAGACCTTATACAGTATGCTTTAAAAGTGATTTTCAATGTTTAAATAATGTCTTATATTGTTTAGACTAGCGATCATCTTACGGAGCGCGGATTACGATCCACTGTACCTTGTGGACAGGTTTAGGGCATGATTTTGTTCGTGTTGGTGTATCCAGGGTATTTCATATCGTTGCCTGGGGCTTATAATGGATGAGTGTTTGAAGTTCGAGCATATGTAGGTGCTAAGGTAGCGAACAGTTTCGCAGCTTTGAGAATTCTCTATAAAATACGGCCCTTGTTAAAGGAACAAACAACTCGCTTGGCATTGTGTAAACCTAAGTATTGTCTCACCTAAGCTACGCTGATATTGTCTATACTCCCTGTTTATATAAAAAGACACTGCAAAGAGTACAGCGAGTACAATGATACCTAGAAGAAGGTGAATTTAGTTCACTACAACAATTATTTTTGTGTTTTATTTTTTATATTTCTTATTAGTAATTCTTTATTAGAATTAGCAATCAAGCAAGTTAGTTTTGACGCTATATGTATGGTCTTTATCTTGCCTAAGTAAGTAAGGTATACTTTTTATATAAAACTAACATATTGTGTAGATCACGGGTGACACTTTGATCCTGTAAATTACTGCTATGTCCTAGTACATTTTATGTTGTATCTTCATAAGCGGACATGGTATTGCAATTTGAAAAGGTTGTGACAAAATATCAGAGACCGTGGGTGGGTGGTGGCTGGTAACTGAGACACAAACCATTTTGTCTTATGATTTATTTATTGTCATGTATGTACATATGCTCAGTAACGGAAAGACAAATAAAACTTTATTATTATTACGCATTCTCTTCAAAGGAAACTTGTCTGGTTTGACGTTTTTAAGCCAATTATCGGGCAAGTGGGTCAAGAATCAGTTGGTTCGACCGTACGTACATTTAAGTCCCACATACGGAATGATAAGTGGTTTCAGTTTTTTTTTCAGATTGTTAAGCGAAACGACAGATCTATGATCGATTAACTCAATCGCAGACGACACCGGAGACAAGATAATTACCTGCTTCTACTCCATGCGCTATCAGTTTGTTACGATACAGTACGGTTGCTACGGACTAGAATTATTTTTTAAGATAACTTAATGCTTTTTGAATTAACAATTTTTCACCTTCATGTGATACATGACCAGCTCGTTGGCTAGCGTGTTCCTTATGTGAGCCTCTTGTATCTTCTGGTAGACCATGGAGTGTATTATGGACACCCCGCAATAAATACTGAACGCTAGAGCCATCTCCTCGTCCATTCCATCGAAATAGGGATCACCAATCTTGTTGATCAGCATACCGACGCCTATTATGCCCGTTTGCTCACGGATGGGAAAGCAGAGAACCGTTCTGGAAATGTGGCATTTTTAGGGTTTCAGGAAGGAAAGAAACTAGTTAAAAATTTTAAAATTCGGTATATGATGTCCCGTATGCTGTATTTAAGCAATAAATACCCACTGAAAGCGCCGATTTATAATATACTTTGTAAGTTGTAGAGAAAACAAAAAAAAATATGGGTGCGTGTACTTAAGAACGCGCGTGAGAAGTTATACTTCTTTTTGGAATTATTAAAAAATAGTTTTTAATTGCATGCAGATAATTAATTACAATAAGATAATAAAAGGATAAGGGCCCAATCTCCCTATTCCATCCATAGGGAAGGCCTGTGCCCCAGCAGTGGGGACATAAAGAGAATGATGATGAATAAAAGGATTGGAAAAGGATAGTCAACGCAGTCAATAAAGTTCAGTTTTAATTTGAAAAATTTAATAAATACTTAATCAAAATATCCAATTTAAATCACTACTGGATAAAATTTATTAGCACATATAAATTTTGCATTTGTATAACATTATAACACGTGTTAAGAATATAGAAACTAGAAACATGTGGATAAATATTATAAATATGAAAACCCAACATGTGCGACTAAGAGATCCTATTACTATTTTGTTGGAAGCTTTTTTTCGAGACTTACGAGTAATGTGCGGTTTAGCGGCCGACTTCATGGTGTTACTTTTCTGTTACAGTGTTGCGCGCGCATCTTAAAATTTCACTCTCATCATTTTTTCATAACGCGCCCGCGGCTAACTTCATTATGTTACTTTTTTTTGTTACAGTGATGCGCGCGTATCTTAAAATTTCACTCTCATATTTTTTTCATAATGCGGCTAAAGAAGTATAACTCCAAAAAAAAACCATTCGCGGTTTGCGATGTCCAGCTCGGAAACAACTATTTCATATGTCAGTGATATTAGGTAGCTTCAATAATAGGATAAGTTCATTGTGTAGAACTTTTCAGGTTTTAGTAGAGCGAGGCCTTTTTTCTTTTTATTTGCGGCTTTTTCGTTCGCGACTTAACAAATGAATAACATGTGGCAGATGTATTTTGTTACTTAAATTAAAATTATTAGTCTATGTTTTTCAATAAGTGATTTTTTAGTCTATGTGATTCAACCAAGTTATTCTGTGGTTATTGTTCTAAAAACACTAACTACGCAATTACTTTTGTGCTGTTAAAACTGTGTTGTACTATTTTACAAGTTTTTTACATGCAAGACACATTTAATTCAACTACGCAACAGGGTTTTTATTTACCATCGTCATCGCTTCATTGAACGAACTGAAAATAGTGGATTGGTCCCGATCCACAACAAACATAACATTTGCTATTCTTTGGGTTCAATTTTCGTCAATAATATTTTTTTGTGTGGGAAAATAGTATAATTGTAATAGAGTTGTTACTAAAACTTACTTGCAGTCCAGTCCTGGTCTTGAATCTATGTCAGGATCGAAAGCGGGATGATCTTTCGCAGACTTCGCGTTTATTAGGTGGCCTGTAGATAACACTTGACCCGCAATACCTTTGTTTACGGGGAATCTCAGCTCTTTCCTTTTATTGTCCTTAGTGGTACAAGAAAATCTAAATTTACTTACTGGTCTATCAATTACTTGGTCTACTAGTCTGTTATGTATCTACATAACACGATATTCAATTTAAGTAAGTAGGTACCAAAGATTTCAGGTACACGGAGGTAATTCTGGCAACATATTTTGATGTTCAGCACACTCCATCACGTCTGTGCGGAAAGAGAATGGGATTTAGATTGGAGGGCGCTGTAGTACTTTTCTACCGTATTTGTCAGGTTGTACCCCTTTTAGACATGATTAAATACAAACAACCGCAAGAAATCACAACAACAAACAAATCCGTATCAATATAAAACATTGACGTTTTACAGATTGCTGGGTTTGATTGCCAAATAAAAATCTTAATGTTTGTTCCGTTTTTCGTCACGCCCATTCTCTTTCCGCACAGACTCTAGTGTGCAATAGACAGAGTCACATAACGGGCTATAACCCAATAGTGCAGAATTGTGATTCCTAGCAATTGTCATAACTAACGATCAATGCCACAGACAACGGGTTGAAATGCCCTCCGAAATAAGATTTCGGCTAAGCGGATTTCCCGCATGAATGCAAACGGCCATCTGGGTATGTTACCTCCACCAAGTGACCAACTTACAGAGAACTAGAGTCTGTGCCGAAAGAGAATGGGCGTGGCGAAAAACGGAACTAACATTAAGATTTTTATTTGGTAATCAAACCCAGCAATCTGTAAAACGTCAAAGTTTTTTTATTGATACGGATTTGTTTGTTGTTGTGATTTCTTGCGGTTTTTTATATTTAATCATGTTTAAAAGGGGTATAACCTTACAAATACGGTAGAAAAGCACTACAGCGCCCTCCAATCTAAATCCCATTCTCTTTCCGCACAGACTTTACAATAAAATAACTAACACTCCTTTTGTGGTATTGTTTCTTTTGGTGAGCAAGGTTAAGTTCCAGGGCTTCACGGGGCAGGGGTTTGGGTTCAGCTATCTTCAAGACTGGACATCGCTTACACACAATGCTGGATTTAGAGGTGTGAGGCCTGGGAAAACGAAGGAATGAAGGTCCCTAAATCTGGGCCGTATTACTTATTATTTGCCCTGGTATGGTGACGCGTTGAAATAAAAACCAAGCTCCTTGTTCTGCAATCAGCATTCATAGTAGAAGGGAATAATTATGTTAAAAACAACAACTTCCTGCGACTACGAACCTTAGACTTTGCGTTGGAGCCCACCAGCTGCATTTTCTCCGCGTCGACCAGCATTACCCAGCAGTGCTCCGCCTTCGTCAGCTGCTTCGCTTGTTCCATCGTTATGTCCAGCAGCGTGTCCAAAGATGCTACCTTAAAGACAATATTAGAATCAATCTATTATCCGTACATTGGCAAATAAGTACCTAAGTGATGTCGATTCTGACATAATTCTCTAAACCTAGCCTTAAATTTGACAACAGTGTATCATTGTCATTATTTATAAAGAATGAAAAGGAGAGCCTAATGTTAAAATAATTTAAAGAATCATGTCAGAATCAATATCAATACCTATTTAAGTAGATGGATAAAGAACATTGTGTTGAAGACACACATTTGGAATTAACAAACATTAGCAAGAGTAGTTAGTTATTCTTCATCAGATTTACGCCAGATATGAAATATTATTTTCTTTCCCAATTTCTTACCAGTGGAAATAACGGGAGTGTTGGGATCAAGAAATAACCGACGAAAAGAATTAATCTAGTCTCGTCTTCTCGTATCGGTTATCTATTGCATCATCATCATCAGCCTATTAATGTCCCCACTGCTGGGGCACAGGCCTTCCCAGTGGATGGAATAGGGAGATTGGGCCATGACCCACCACGCGGGCCCAGTGCGGATTGGTGGGTACTAACGACTGCAGATGCAGCTGGGACCAACGGCTTAACGTGCCTTCCGAAGCACGGAGGAGCTCGAGATAGTAATGTTTGGTCACCCATCCAATGACCGATCACTGCGAAAGTTGTTTAAGTTCAATGATCGCAGCCGAACGCGCCAACCACTTGCGCCATCGAGCTCCTCTATATATCTCCTCTATTCGTTATCTATTTATTGGTTAAATAAGTGTGTTGTTATTATATTTTCGCTTTCATACATTTGCCTGAATAAATTTAGGCAACATAATATTAGGTATGTCATTGTTGTATTATTTAAAGAAAATTGTAAATAACGAGTTTAAGTAAGTTAGTATTCACAAAAGCACCAACTTGAGTGAACAATCGTCTCGTCACGCGCAATAGCTGTTGACATTTGGTTTTCAACGACGTTTCATAGTCCAAGAGGATGGATTTCTTCAAGGTGGGCCAAATGAATCTAGAACAATACAAGTTATCCATAAGAATGTCTTTTTTCCTATTTACTTTAAGGGTTAGTACCTACAGGCGCTACAGCTTTAGAAATTGATCTGTCGATCTATTTTAGTTTGCATTGTAGGTAATAAATAAGCGTATACGCACGTGAAACACTCGTGAATGTAAACGGTGACGTGCTCCTCCTGGACCTTGGGCATCACCAAGCACGCTATCACGGAGAATGGCTGATCTTGTATCGGGTACATAGTTACCCGTATTTTTTGTCTGTCCGCCGGCAAAAACTGAAAGGAATTTTCATTTCAGCTGGATTTGTAGGTGGGTAAATGAATTTCACTTTAAAATAACAGCAGTGCTATTCTGTGAGAACAAACTCGCTTTCACCGCGAAATACACCGGTGATATTTAAAATTTGAAATTCGTGTTCTTATTTTTAAATCACAAGCGGATTCCGAGGTGATTGTTGCACTGCAGTAACCAGGATTAGCTTCAGCGTCAGCAAGCTTTCTAGCTATCTTTCAGTCGCAGACGAACTTTACAGTATATCTATATGATAGTAACATCTCTCGCAGATAGTCTATCGATAGCAGGCAGCATAATTATAAGTATTAACTTAATATTTGCATTTGTTATATTAAATAAAACAGTGAAACGTCTAACATTCGTTGTACATGCCTACTACTGTCGAGGGCGGATCCAGCTTTGGCGCCAGGGGGGGGTCATATAGTCGAGGTCAAATCACAGTGGGTACAGATTGCGAAGTACAGATTGTGAAGTGGGTACAGATGGACCCAGCCCAGGGGGGAGTCATGACCCCCATGACCCCCCCCCCTGTATCCGCTCTTGACTTCTGTACATAAAATACTAATTCACAGTACAGAGGTCATCAATGCGGCATTGCTTCCAATTGGGCAGCTTTCCGAAGAGGCTCAGGATTCAGGAAGCACGGAACAAAGTTTGCCTGCTGCCACTATGGCCACCCTGTTCAAACTACACTGTTTATTTCTCGCGCTTGTTTTCTGAGTCTGAATCTGATTCTGAATCTGCGTGCACTGTGGCCGTACCCTAAGGGAGTACAAGTACAACACCCACAAGTGCTCGCGTGTTGCCCCGAATAGAGACTTATACTGTCTATGTTAATTGTAACATCTGATCCTTTGATCAATAGTCTTCGAGAGATTCCCAACAAAACTGGATAAAGGTAGGTATTAAGTTAATTGTGAGCCCTAGCATAGTAGAATCAAGACCGGAATCGTCATCATATTGTCGCACAATACAACAAAACGATGATGATTATACAGTAGGTAAACAATTCATCAGAAGACTCTGATGATAATTATTAGGTTACCTACTATACTATATTTAATTTCGTTTCTTTAGTCATTTATACTGTACAGTACCTCATGATGCAATCTTAGTCTTTTCTCATTTGTTATTTCAATCGTTAAAATAAGTTTGTTGTTTGCTGCACCATTTTTAAAATAAATTTTATCTACTTTTTTACAAATTATTCGTTTTTTATTACAAAATAAAACCAAAATCTGTTGATAATGTCTAAATATGACTACCTGTATATAAAAACATCTTTATATAAAATAAAATAACTTTGACCACCTAGCATGTTCTAGGCGAAACACTGTTCGTCGGCGTCGTCACGTCACAAGCAGGTGTTGGAGATGAGATTTGAGAAGGTAACTTTTCTATTTGATTTCTATTCAGAGCGGATAATATGTATATCGTGTGTCCTAGCAGTAGTCAGGGAGAATTAGTCTTAGATTTTGTGCCATTCTCTAAACATTAATTATAAAGGACATTATTTTCAACTTGGGTTTGGTTTCAACGGGGTGGGGGATTGGGTCAGGGTCAGGGATATTTTTTGTATTGCAAGCATCTATACTATAGAGTAGAAAAGAATAATTCTTTATTGCAAAACTGTTACATTTAGTGATACTGCTAGATGTTAGTGCACACAATTGAAATTAAGAGTTACCCTAATCGGGCATGCAATAGTCATTATAGGCTATATAGGCTTACCATCAACCATCAGGCGGGCCGTAAGCTTGTTTGCACCCCTTTTAACATAAAATAATTTTGTAAATTAGGCACGCTATAAAATTTGTTTTTATTAATTAAAAGATTTAGGATTAATTGAAAATAAAAAATAAAAAATCAGGATTAAAGAATCATACTAAATAGAATAAAAACTGGTAAAAGTTACTCACCGGGGCAACCACTTCTTGAAAATCTTGTGCAAAAGCGTTGAATGGTTCTACGACCTCGGCAAAAGATTTTACTGCCTCTACCAGCTTCGTTGTCATCTATTTGGAAGAAGCGATAAGCTGGTTTCTCAATTTTCTTTTATAAATGAACTGGTTAACTTCGTGTTCAATCAGGAATAGTGGAATTCCGAACTTTGTTTCAAATGTATCCCCATTCATCAAATAAGATACTATCATAGCGTAATTCAAATCCTAATAATTAGTAGGTACCAAATTAAATACCCGTATAATCGTAGGTAGGTAGGTATATTGATTTTGATATTCTAAAGCAGTGCTAATAGGTAATCAATTATTCGTGGTCAAATCTCTGCTGTACCGGAGTAAATTTTATCAAATTGCATCATTTTAAGGCAATTATAAAACTCTTATTTACCTACTACAGGAAAGAAACTTTCTAAGCTATCGAAAATTCTGTTTAATTGCAAGTTACAGACGTACGCGACGTGGCCACTAACGGTATGGCTAGTCCACCAAATTAAGTAGCTCTCAGCGAGCTTATTGAAAGAGAAATGCTAGAAATTAATCTGAAGGAACGTATCCGAAACGAAGTGCTTCGCCAGAGAACTAAAGTCACATAGCTCAACGAATTAGCATACTGAAGTTGCTTAAATGACGTAGAACAGATAATTGTTGGGGTAGATACATTCTAGAATAGAGACCGCGAATCGGCAAATAGGTATAGTGTGGGGTAGGTATCCTGCGACTAGATAGAGCGACGATATCGTAAAAGCAGCGGGCACTGACTGGATAAAGAGAGCTGGAGACAGAGTTCAATGGTGTGGCATAACTGCCATGGGGGGGCATATGTCCAGCAGTGGACTGATACGGGTTGGTGAAGTAAGTAAATAGGGAGCGAAATTCGTTGCGTTTTGCTAATGCAGTCCAGGTCGTTGGGCGTAGTTTACTTCTTTAGTTCGCAGAATGACCAAAATGAACTTAGATTTGTTGCACTTTGCTCTCAATGTAGTCTTCACTCGTAGGTGAAAAATTAACTAACAAATATTTTGCGTTTGCGCGACAGCTCTGTTGTTCCCACTGCGTCAATAGACGCTTCCATCCGTTCGATGTTCACCACTACCATGAACACTAGATCTGCTTCGCATTCTTCTGCTAACTGAAATGAATATAATCTCATTGGTTTGGGTTACAAATAATAGTACCTAGCTACAGTGCCGGTTTTAGCACTACCAGCGCCCTGGGCAAGATTCATACGGTGCCCCCACCCCCTTATTTTACTCACGCCTTCTAATTGCAAACTCATTCGAAAAAACCTGGCCTAGCACGAATGGGATTCGCACTCGAAAGGTGCCGTACAAGCAAACAAACAAAAAACATTTTAAAGTACTTACGTTATAGGCAGGTGAATACGATTATGACATCGAGGTAAACAAAGATTCTTATACAGGGTGTTTCTTTTAGGGTGTCAAGCCAGTGCGAGCTGATAGAGGAGTACCACACCTATCAATTTAACCCCCATGTATGTTCTACGATTTTTCGTAGTTTTCGAGTTAGAATATTTTTTTCGTTATTTTTTATGATTCAATGATGAGACAACTTCGAAAAAGTATACCTTTTTTTTTGGTCGACTTTCTTCGATTCTGTGTACCATCTGTATACTACATTTTTTTATAAGTATTGAAATAATTGGAAAAACTCTTTCAGTTGCGTGCACCGATATAATGAATGAGAAATGAGCTGCCAATTCCGTTTCATTGCAAAAATCATATAAAGGCCATTCATTACTTTGGGCCGACCCCCTCAGGTTCGAGTGTTCTAGACTCTAGAGGCTCCAGACAGAGAGGAGACTCCCCCTGTGGGGAGATGCCATCCGCCTGGAATACCTCTACTAGGCACCCGGCAATTCTCGGCTTGAGGTCCCCTTAGGATCTCGCTATCTAAACTTACGTTAAAAACTTAAAAACCATAATGGGGTTCTAATAACTAAACATTCTTTCATTACCAATTTCATAAAAGGTGTACCTTTATGAAACTGGCTTATCATCAAAACCATGACACAGAAAATATTTCCGTAAGCAGTAATGACATTACTGAGACGACCGACTCTGCCATGTTTAAAAAAACCTATAGTTAATTCACAAGATTTTTAGCTATCTAAACAGAAAAGTGGCTTTTTCACTTATTCTGGATTCATCAGTAAATATTAGGTATGTCCATCATAAAGTGTTTACTTCCAGTCCAGTAGGTATTGCAAACGCATATTTAAGGTTAGGTATTTTAGGCCTATTTAAAGGGGCTTCCATGCCAAAGGCAACCTCAGGTGCTGCTAATTCAGTCTGGTATAACATCATTCTTCGAGATTAACTAGGTAGGTACCTATGTCAGTAAATTAATTTAGTTACCTATCTATCTACTTAATTATATACATAACTACTGTAGCTTTACTTATTTGATAATAGCTTTCTTGAGACGTTTCCTGTTTAATTACTTACGTATGCATTTATTTTCGTTTGTGACTGCGCACAAGTTTCGTCGTTAAGATTCATTACCAGTTCCAAAATTTTTCCTGGGTCACTATACTGAATAGTTTTACGTTTTGAATGTTTCCTTTGATGCGCCATTTTACTGTTAGATAGCTTAGTGTTTTAAAATTAATATTCTAAAACTTGTTTAGGTTAAAACAAAATTATTGGCGTAACAGTAATAAAAAATATTTTTAAATTCACCGCTTTGCCGCTTTTGAAACGTAGTGATTTACATTGTCTTTGCTCGCTACGTAAGTACTTTACTATCTATGTCTCTTTTTTTTAATATTTTAACGGCTTTAGGTATTATCTATACAGCGAATACTACAGTATTATGTCTTTATTTGAGAATTAATATATTTAAGTTCTTCAAGTGTTATCATAATTTCTTTCACATGTGTTCAAGTAGCGCAAATGAAATCGTATATGTCTTGATAAGATTTCCTATTCTTCAGAATAGATGACAAGAGGCGGGGAATGTCATCATCTTTGAAAACCTTCAGTAAGCCATCTATTAAGATAATTCTTTGCATATTGAAGGCGGAACAATGTACGATAAGGTGGTCTAATGTGGCTTCATCATTTTTGCAATATTCGCATAATCCCGAAGGTTACAAGTTAATTCTATTTAAGTGCGCACCAAATCTTCCATGACCCAATCTGAGCCTGTTGATTGTAGTTAAGAATGTTCTAGTTAGAAACTGGACACTGAAGTACCAGTCTAATAAGTGAAATGGCCAGAGTAGAGTGCTCCTGTCAAGTAAATTCCCAATATTGGCACGTAACCAGACTCTCCCTGAAAGACCGGATTGCTATTATTATTATAACATATTACTTTTATTTCAGTACTTTTAAACACAAAATTCATATTTTATGGTAAAAATCAATCGTTGGACTTGTTTGACAAAACAATCGACTCGCCAGTACAAATTTCAGATCTGTCAATAAAAAATCTTAAGTTTCATCTAAGGCTGTAATTTTTTATGGGTGAGTGTCATAATTACAATTGCGTTTTTGAGAAAGTATATTGGACTGCAGTTGTGTGCATATTCCTCCCTCCGTAAAAAGCGGCAGAATGATTACAGTAGTATTAAGTCATTAAGGCTACTAACTTTTCTCTATGTGGCTACTCCACTCCTCTCTATATTCACATGTATCAAATAAAATCATTATCTTTGTGTTTGATGCCATGGGTTTATAAAGTAATAGTTATAGCATGGACGAAATATCACTACGAGATTCATAAGATTTTGAACATTTGGCTGTGTGGAAATAAAGTCATTTGTCTTCATAAATGAATGAAATAAAAGAATAAAACTGTCAAAACAGCTGATTTGTGCTTTACGAGTTTTTTGATTTTTGAATAAACGCTTTGTTTTCATTATTCTCACCTAATAAAATATTCAGTGCCGAAATGGCGGAAATACAAACTCTAATAGAAATGGGATTTTCCAAAGACCGGGCGTAAGTGTAGTTAACTATTAAATAGTACGTTTACATTCGAAGGTTATGTTTATTAGGTACTTTATTTTAAATATCTCGGTTTTAGGGAGAAAGCTTTAGCTATTACTAACTACAAAGGCGTGGAGCCTGCTATGGAGTGGTTACTGGCTCACGCAGACGATCCGCAAATGGAGACCGGGCAAACACTTGGGGGCAGTACCACGGCCACAGCAACCGTTCCCGAAGCAGCGCCGGCCCCGGCTGCCACAACTGCAGAAACAGAATCCGCCGAAGAAGCGAAGTCATTCAAATGCGACGAATGTGGTAAACTGTTCAAAAATCAGGACGAAATGGAATTTCACGCGGCAAAAACGAATCACAGCAGCTTCTCAGAGTCCACAGAGGAAAAAAAACCATTGACTGAAGAGGAGAAAAAAGCTCAGTTGGCCCTACTCGAGGAGCGGATGAAACAAAAACGGAAAGAGAGAGAAGAGCGAGAGAAGGTTAATACAATATTTTACTTTTATTTATTGTTGATATTTGATAACAAAACACGGTGTTGAAATAGAGAAAATGGCTAAAGTTGTTTAACAGTTTTTATTTTTGAGTGTGTATGCTGTTGGTCGCAGATGATCTATACAGCGTCACCGGGTTTGGGGACAGCGAGATCCTAAAGGGACCTCAAGCCAAGAATTAGCGATTGACCAATGGTCTTCTATATGGTGGAGGTTGTTTTCCCCAGATAGTAATGATGTGATAGATAGTTAGTTCAATTTTAGACAAAAAATCACTTTGCTGTACCTCTGAAATAATTTGCAAAGTAACTAATCCTAATACTGAAATGTGTATAGCACATTTAATTTTGTAAAAGTTATTTAAAGAAATTAAATTCACTACAACTTCCATTTTAATATAAATGTACAGATACTCTAATAAACATATTCCATAATCAACAGTGAATAATAATTGTCTTTTCTGGTACTATAACTAACCCCATATTAATACAAAATAGGCAGAAGCATTGGAGCGTGAGCGTCTTCGTATCAAATCTGGAAAAGATCTGCAAGATGCCCGTCAAAGATTACAGGAACAAGAGATGATGAAACTCGTTGAACAGAGGAGAAGGGAAAAGATTGAGGATCAGAAGGCAAGGGAACGTGTCAGGGCACAAATTGAAGCAGACAAACAGGCCAGAAAGTAAGTTTGTAGTTTATAAGTATACTTTACGTTGAGTTTAATTTTTAAGAATTTGAATAAATACATCATCAAGTTTACCGTCAAGTCTGCAGAATTGTTCAAGTGCCGTCTGGTAAACTTCATATTGTATGGCTATGGGTATCTTCTTCTTCTTGTTGCTACGGGCGTTTCCGCAACTCGACGTCCTTATGGCGCCTGTTTTGCGTGAGGAGGGTGTATGGCCGGAATCACTCCAGCCAGCCCAGCTCCCCCAGGAACGCCCCCACGGCCTTTACATTGGTGACTGCCTCTTGAAGGTTTCCCGGTGAGCCGAGGTATTTCGCCCGGTATTCGGCCACTCCGTTGCATTCCAGCAGAACGTGAGTAGCTGTTTCTTCTGCCTCCATGCATCCTCTGCATAGGGGGCTGTCCGTGACACCTAAGTTGAAAAGATGTCTGTTAAAATGTGCATGTCCAGTGATAGCACCCGTTACCATGCGCAATGTAGGTTTGCTTAGCTGTAGGAGAGTTTTGGAGAAGGCAGCGTTCACCCGTGGCAAAGCGAGCTTGGTCTGCCTGCACGTCTCCAGGTCGAGCCAGTATTGCTGGTGTAGTTCGGCAGTGTGCTCGCGGATTTTATTGACGAGACAGCTTACCGGTATTGGGACGATTGGTTCAGGACCTGTTAGGGTCGTATCAGATCCCTTCCGGGCCAGCTCATCCGCAGCGTCGTTTCCGCGTGATCCACTGTGTCCCTTGATCCATTGGATGGTAATAGAATTGCTTGACCCTACCTTGTTTAAGGTTTGGTGGCATTCTTGTAGGAGCCTCGATCTGACTAAACAGGCATCTAGAGCTTGTAGGACTGATTTACTGTTGGACAGTAATCGTATTTCCTGACCTGTTACCATTCTTGAAAGGATCGCTGTTGCCGCCAGTGTGATGCCCATACATTCAGCTTGGAACACTGTGTTGTATGGGCTGGGGAACGCGATGTGTATGTTGAGGTCCTCAGAGAAAACACCCGCGCCCGTGCCCGATGAGGTTTTAGAGCCGTCGGTGTAGATCATGAGAGCCTTGTGTGTTGAAATGGCTATGTATGGCTATGGGTATATAAGACAAGTGTCTACTGGAAGCAAAAATTTAATTTAGATTCCGCTGACTTAATCAAGCATGCAGCTTCAAGTATACTTGAACATGTGTGCGAGATGAGCGTCATGAATGCACGACGCGACGGTCAGTCGGCATCCCATGGCAAAGTATTGGCCCATACTCTCGTTAAGTCTGGAACTGATGTAAGTTAGCAGCATCAGATCACAATTTTATAAGCACGGCAAGGCACGCATGGCGGATTTTTGGCCACAGCGGCATTTCACATCTACGGTGACTGCACTACGCTTTCTTATCTTGACTGGCACAAGCAAACTGGATTTCAGAGAAGTAGCCTGTGCTTGTGCACTAATGTTAGAAAATAATTAAAAATAAGAAAAAAGCAGATATTGGATGCGTCCTATGGTGAGCCATAGATTAATAATAATTTTACAATAGATAATTTTTTCATCATGAACAGTTATTAGTGAAGGAGGGATGTGAAGCAGAATCAGATTTCAGACATGTTTGCTTATCAGGAAATGAAACGGAGAATAAGTAATCTGATCAAATGCTCTCAGCAGACTTACTTGAAAATGGCGGTGTTTTGCCGCAACGCGCGCGCGCGCCGAGTACCTATTAAATTACAGGAAACCGGCGATTGCCGCGCCGCTAATATTCTGTACCGAACGCAGAAATTTGGCGGTACGGCAGTTCTCTGGAACTGCTGGGTTAATCGCAAACTTTTTTGACATTTACAGTGCAACTAAAGAGAAACTTGCATAACCATCGATGCTTTCCAGAATAAGTCGCCACTAACTATCTTAGTGGCGTTATAACAAAGCAGTAGTAGACCACTTAATAGCTCGGTGATTATCACTTCCATCTGTCAAAAGCAGTTAGCGAATAGGCTACAGGTTTAGGCTATCTAGCAGAGTCGGATGTCAACTTTATAAGTTTATCATTATCATTATCAAAAACATTTTTTCAGTTTAGGCTGTTACAAGCACTCATGGACGTCTAGAAGCTACGCCATCCATGGGTTCGTAAATCTACGGCGGAAGACCTTGTACTGAGAAGAACCGGCAAGAAAATCAGCAATGGCTGTTTTTTTCTCCCTGTTTTATTACTTACAGAGTCGTCAAATTGAAAAATGACTTCAGAGATGATTCACGAAGTGACCTTTCATTACATAATGATTAAATATACATTAATTGTTTACCTGCATTTCGATTGCTGCGTCATACAGTATAAATACAATGGTAAGAGTTGACTTCTCGCTTCTCACACGCTACTTTATGACACTCGCGTAGATTAGCAGCGTCAGGTCAGACGGCGTCGGCGCCGGTGCCCGCGGCCCCCGCCCCCGCACCGGCAGCGCCCGCGCCCGCGTCCGCACCCAAGGCCAACTACGAGCAGGCTAGGATCCAGCTGCGACTGCCCGATGGAAAGGCATTGGCGCATACGTTCGGTGCTAAGGAACAACTGGCTGCTGTCAGGTAATATCTTATCAATTGATGATGTATGTCTATAGATGTATACCTCATGTGTTATTTATTTATCTGCAAATTATAGGTTTAAATATGTTATTAATTAAAGAATACATGACTGTGACGCCCTGTAAGGGCACGGCAAACAGCAATTATTTGCCCTTTTATTACCTAGTAAACACTTGATAATATTACAATAAGTTGCATGATATTACATAAATAAAAATATATAATATATACCTATTTGAGATAAAATTAATGTAAAATAGTTTTTATAATATTATACTGTCAAAATTATACGTTAGGGCGCCACTTCCAGGGCGGAAATGCCACGTTCTTATATTTTTGTGCTAAGAGTGCCATTGGCAAACAAGCATATTATTATGGGTCGGCTGATGGTAAGGGACTACCATAGCCTGTAGTCGCTTGCGTTACCAGAGTATCGGTCACGCCGTCCACTACCCTGACAAAATGGCATGCGCTGATTCGTCTCTTATTATTAGCCAAGAATGGCATTTAATTTAAAAGTAATAATAGAATTTTATTAAACGTCTCCCTAATTGAAATTTTCCTAAGGCTCGAATTACGAATGACTTCAAACGATATTCAATTAATGAAATGAAATGATACTTTATTCAAATTGATTTGTGCTTGTTGTGTGCTTTTGAGCTTTCACTCTTTTGAAACGTCCAATATTTTTTCCTATATTCTTTTTAATGTTCCAGATTGTACCTACAAATTAATGCTCAAGAGTTTGCTCAGCAAGATTTCAAACTGATGACCACGTTTCCAAAGAAAATATTCACTTCTGAGGATTACGAAAAACCTCTGGAACTATTAGGTAGGTGTCTTTTGGAACAAATCCATCAATTTCTTATTCTTGTTCTAACAGGCGTCAAAATTTCGAATAAACTTCATGACTATTTCTGTGAGGTTTAAAACAGGAAACAACTTTAGCATTCCATAGGCTAGTTATAAGAAAGAAGACCAAAAATATATTACTATCTTAGGGAAAACAAAAAGGGAAGATACGGGACGCTCATATATATTAGCATCAAATAAAATATGATCCGACTCAACTACCTATAAGTGACTCACACACAAACACGTTTGTAAATAAACATTCAATCGAGCGAGCGAGACAGAACTGTACGACCAACGCAGCGCAAGCGAAACGGCGAGTCCGCACGGCTGAGCTGTATTGTTGTCCTTTTCTTGATAACAAAATGGCGATTACGTAATTAACATTCACGACAAACCGTGATTTTTGAGAAAAAAATGTTTTTACATTTTTCGAATGAAAAGTGTATCCGAGGCATTTGCTTTTGATTTTGAACTATTTGTGTTCTTTATAAAAGCATCGAAGGCATTGTTTTATCTTTATAACACAGCATATACGCAATATTGTTATATTGAGTGCACATGCAGCGTGATTGAATGTCCAATTGTGACTAAAGCGAATTGTGGTCATGCACCACGATTTAAGCGGATCACTTGAGCCGCGAGTGCCGTATCTTCCCTTTTTGTTTTAATCTAAGAGTGTAACTAATGTAAGGGACCGTAAATTATACAAGCTTTTTGGTCGACATATATATGTTTTATCTGGAACTGTCAATATACATTTCTACAAAAGGATGACGTTGAAGGTAACTTAAAACTCGAATTTGGATATAATATTGGCCGAAAGAGGATGGTAGCGCCGTTGGCTGCCAACATGACTCCTGACTGGATCGATTTCAATGAAATTATTCGTGTGCATTTGAGCGGATGTCCCTGGATGGTTTCCATTCACAGCTGAACCCGATAGGTGGCCGTGCAGTCGGGTTCCACGATATCTTTTTACATCTCTATCGAGAAGAACGCCTTTTTGAAGTTATACTTCTTTAGGCGTGTTATAAAAAAATTATGACAGTGAAATTTAAACATGCGCGCGCATCACTGTAACACAAAAGTAACACTATGAAGTTGGCCGCTAAACCGCACATTTAGTCTCGGAAAGTCGCGCATGTTAATACGCTCTTTGTCTTTGATCACTGTTTTCATATTTATAATATTTATCCAGATGTTTCTAATTTCTATATTCACAACACGTGTTTTAGTCTTATACAAGTACGAATTAAATTATGTGCTAATAAATTATATTCAGTATAGTGATTTAAATTGAATATTTTGATTATTTATTTTTTCAAATTTAAACTGAACTTTACTGACTGTGTTGATTATTCTTTTATTATTTTATTGTAATTAATTATTTGCATGCAATTAAAAACTAATTTTTAATGATGCCAAAGTAGTATTACCTCTCACGCGCGTACATAAGTACACGCACAAATATTTTGTATACGAGGCGCAGCAAAGGTAGTCTTATTAGATAGCTTCCCCAGACGGGCGCTCCAAAGAGGGTTACCGTTTTTTGTCTCACCAGATGGCGCCACTGTTGAGTGAGGTCCTGAACTGTAGCTTTTAAAGTTTGTCAATACGCGCGCGAAATCACAATCAAAGTTTACATTAAAATCGTATTTTAATACAAAGTAACCGTATCGTAAACATAATTGGCCATGCCACCCACCGTGTTGCGCAGTCCGTTTTGTTCGGAAAAAAAGGCGAATATAATATGTTTTCTTAGCTCCGCTTTTAAATAACTGACATTCATTGACACTAATTAATCTGAGTTTCACAACTTTTTTTGTTAGAAATAAACCTGCGTCGTTTCCCCTCAAGCAATAACATTTGACATTTCGTAGACTTCAAGCTACACATGCGCCTCTAGCGTAGGATTCAAACGCCATTGCCCTCATTCGGGCGGGGAAACGCTTTGCCCCATACTTCTCTTAAAACAAATTTATTTATTTTATTTTTTTGACATACCATCAACAATTTCGCAAATTTCAATAAAGATATCAACAAAAATGCAGGTAGTACTCAACGGTGTGAATTGCCATTGCAGGCATCTACAACATTGACTATATAGGTAGGTACTTATACAGTCCCGGACACCTAAATCGAGCCACCTTGATTTTTTTGGTTTGGAGTACTGTAACTTATAAAAGATGTATGTAGAAGGAAAATGTTTTGATGCAGTTTTGGAGCTGGTATACTCATCATTCATTTAGAGTGCCACTGTTCTAAATTTGAACTACAGTTTATTAAAAAAGTCAAGTTACGTTGAAACAAGTCCATATTTGCTTTTTTCAAGGAAAAAAATTAATCGATTTTTAAATAAAGACATGTTTTAAATGAAAAGAAATATTTATTTAGTAACTTGTATTGCCTTCCAGTGCATTTATGACAGCTCTCATACGGTTTGGCATAGAATTAATCAATGTCGTTATGACATGTTGAGGAATGTCCTCCTATTCTTCCAAAATTACATTTTTGAGCTCCTGCATGGTTTGCGGGGCAGGATGATGAGCTCGAACACGCCTCTTCAGCTCATCCCATAGATGCTCTATAGGATTCATATCAGGACTTCGCGCTGGCCATCTTATAACAGTGATACCAATGTCATTTCAGTACTCACTGACGATTCCCGCAGTATGGGCTCTTGCATTATCATGCATTAAAACGAAATCTTGGCCAATAAATCCAGCATATGGCATCACGTGGTTCTCTAAACATTGGCGAATGTATCTATTGCCATCTAGGGGCGGCAGTCGTGGTCCCGTCACTACCTCTAGCTCAGTTTTGCCTTCCATAGAGATTCCTCCCCAGACTGTCCATGATCCTCCACCATAACTCACGTTCTCGTCAATACAGCATTGCGCGAAACGCTCGTTCTGTCTTCGGTACACCTTACTCCTTCCATCATTACCGTATAACATTATCTTGGACTCATCTGTGAAGAGAACCTGGCTCCATTGATGTCGAGTCCTATTAAGATGTTCGCGCGCAAACTCTAGACGGGCTTTTCGGTGTGCTCGTGTCAATTTGGGTCCATTGGCTGGCTTGTGGGGCTTTAAACCACGTTCATTGAGTCGCCTTCTAACGGTCCGAGCACTTACAGCCACTCCGTGAAAGTCCCTGAGCTGTTCTTGTATCTGAACAGAGTTAAGGCGTCGATTTCGTAAGCTAGTAGTGACAATGTATGATCTTGTCTCGCCGTTGTCACTCGGAAACGAGGTCCTCCTGTTCGCCGAACGTAGCCGCCAGTCTCCAGGTATCGGTGGTACACTCTTTGAACAGCGGAACGACTTATGTGAAGTTGTGAACTCACATCTCGCTGACTTAGCCCAGATTGAAGAAGTGCTACAGCTTGCGCGGCTACTTCAGATGAAGTATCCATAATTTTATAGCCAAATACGGTTCAAATTATAGAAAAATAACTAAACTAAACTTTGGTTTACAACAATTGCGAAAAATCAAACCAAAACGACATTAAATTGCTTCAAAAGCAACTTTCAACAGTCATTATTTTTTTCAAATCAAGTGACCAAGCTCGGCTTTTGTTCTTTATTTTAAATTCTAAAATTCAAATTTGGAATAAAATATACGGGAAAGATGATGAAATATGCCAACATTAAAAATGCATAAAAACTTTTTTGTTATATTGTATATTTTTTGTGTATTGGGCTTTTAGGCCCGGGAATGTAAGGTGGCTCGATTTCAGAGTCCGGGAGTGTATTTGTAACAGTAACAAATTACTGTACGGTTTGAACGTTACCATACAGATGATTTTTGAGTGCTTTGAGTGGAGCGTGAAAGATGTCAACATCATGGCATATCTCGTTGTATGCATCTTTAAATTAAATTATGAAGCTTCATCTAGTTAATTATTAAAATATAACTGATTTAATAATAAGTTGTTTCATTTCAGGTCTCGTCCCATCGGCCGTCATAATAGTTTCAAAGGGTGTATAACAATCAGTGGTGATGACTGTGTCTGACTACGCCGGTTAGATTTGGAATATTTGAGGTTATGGGGTGACGAGGAAACTCTGCAAATGTATGATGATAATAAAGTTGTGTATGTACCACTATTGATATTTTATTTTGAACTAGCTTCGGCACGCGAATGTGTTCGCGTTAACTTTAGTTTCACGCAACTTTCGTAGAAAAACCCTGTAAGAATCTTTTACAATGTATTTTAAAAACTTGAACAAAAGATGGATGGAATCGGTAGCCTTTCTCAAGTTATGGCGTGACCAAGGTAAATAATGGTTCATTTTTATATATCCTCGACAATCGCCGTGGCCTAGTGGTTCGTACGCCGGGTTCATGGTGCGGGCAGATGTTTGTGTATGATGAATACGAGCATTTGTACTTCACTCATGGATGTTTTATATGTATATATATATAAAATATACTTATATATGTACAGTATATGTATTCTATCCGTTACCCTAGTATCCCATAACACAAGCCTTAAAGTACTTAGGCTAATTGGTGTGAGTGTTGAAAATATTTATTTATATATGAAGAGCGATTTAGTACTTTTTTAAAGAACTTACTGCATTTTCTTTTCCTTTTTGTTTTCAGTCTAACGTCAGAGGCCCAAACACGAACTCTTGATAGTTCCGTAATCGTATCATCAGTTCTATGAAATCTAAGCAGCGCCCCTACCGGACGTAAGAACGAACTGGCTCCTTCCATACAAAATTTGTCGATGACGAAACTATTACGTATTCGCCAAAGCGCACACTTTGACAGATTCGTTACCGTTTCGTCATCGTGGGGGCCTCAAAAATCTATCGGGTAATTCCATTTGTCCCTACAAAGGTCCCCATAAATACGGAAGAGTAGAATTCTTTGCACCTATTAACTGTCTTTCACTGGGAGAACCTATACTATATATTAGTATCATATTACATGCAGTTAAGGATGGTTTACAGAAAAATAAAACAATATTGGTTCCAATCACGTTTATTACTTTTAGTTTCAGTGTTACTAGTAAATAATAAAACACAATGTATACAGTATCTACCGATATCAAAATAGGCACTGACAAGGCAGGCTTATATATTAAGGACGTACACAGTCTGTTTGTTTGTATTATGAGATTCGGATATCGAAAAAGTACATTATGTGGGTATGGCAGAGGACACACTCGCGCAACTATAACTCTTATTGTAGTATAAATAAAACCGTTGTTGCCATAATTTACCCATTTATTTAAAACGCACAAAAGGCTTTTCAGGCTTCGGCTCGAAAATTCTTAATCAAACTTTAATTTAAAGATAAAGGATTAAAGCTTAAAATCGATTGCCTACCGTCGTGCGGCATTAGCGACCTGACTTGCTGTTGTTGTCCGCAAGAAACCACGAATTTTATTAAAAGATCCGAATCCCATTACATAAGGGATCTTACAGAGATAGCAAGAATAGTTGAACGAATGCAATAGAACAACAATATTTTTTATGAAGTTTTAAAACTTTACTGTTTTTACCTAGAGGTTTAAAGGTAACTTTCTTATACTAGACGTGACTGCGACCGTATGGATGTCCGATAAGAGAGACATAATTCTAAAACTGAAAAGTCAAAAATCAACCGAGACATAGGTACTATTATGTATACTGTGCCGAAATGCTATTTTAGCATGGCGTATAATATCATATATATTTCAGGCAGGGCCGGGTTTAAGGCAGGACAACTGGGCTGTGGCCCACAGGAAAAAAAACAAATGTCAAAAATTGTGGGTCACGCCCACGTTAGGGGCCGCCACACCCCTAAATGCGGCCCTGGCTATTGGAACAAAACTACAGGAAACTTATAATAGTGCATTAGTCAAAACAACATTCAAGTTGATAAAGCCGTTTCTGCGAAATGCATGTAAAAATACAAATCATTAATAAACTGTTATTTATAATTCGGTGATATAAAGTAAAACGTGTATAAAATATAAACTTATTAAATCTAGAAAAATCTACGACTATGACACGGACACACATTGCATAAAATTTTCTCATTAATATGAAAAACCAATAGTTAACACTTATGTAATAACTATTGGGTATCTCTGTCAACGATATTTAATACCCTAAATAGAACAACTCGAACAAAATCTTGGTCGAAACCTGTCCAAAAGGTACATTGGACGATCCACGGAGCTCCGAAAGATGGTCGCGTAGTCAAAAACAATATAAGGGTTAGGGATTGAAACAATTCTTAACTCAGCGTAAGTCGACCGTCCTTTCCGTCCGTCCAAAGTGCTTGAGAGTTGTTCAAGCACTTCTTGATTGGGACACATTTTGAGCGCACGTGGTGTATCTAGGGTTTTTAATATCGTTGGTCTCTGTAGAATAAGTATTAGTCTCTAATACTAACTTCCAACCCATATTACCAGCTACAAAAAGTACCCTATGTCCAATTATCCAAGTCTCTTTATGGAACATTAAAGTCAGTACCTACAGGCAGCCACAGGTCAAGTTAGCCAAATCTTTAAAATTAATTCAGGCTAGTAAAATTAAAAATTTCAAGATGTAAATCTTACACGCAAATATCTGGTATTGTACAAAGTCGCACATTACAGCATCCTTTATCGCATAGGTAATGTTGGCACTTGTCCCGTCACCGATGATCAGCGAAAAGAGAGTAAAGTCAAAATTTATTTATTCAAATTGGAAGCACAACTTATTTCAATAGTAATTTTTTTTCTTTCCCTTCCGTTAAGGTTATTTATTTTTCAGCTGTAAAGAACACCAGACAACCAACAAGAAAGGGTGAAAAAACCTTTATTCTGTAGAGAATGGCTTTGAATGAATCTTTGAGTTTCTAACTAAATAAGAATTGGTGAGAAGCAAGTGTATAGTTTCGATACTATGATTTCTTGGTTCGGATATGTCCGTTTTGGAACGAAAGTTCCTTACGGCAGGCTTGGAGGGGATAGGGATTTTGCTACGCGACCGAACTGAAAAAAATGTGATAGTAAAACCGTAAGAAAAAATGCGTGGAATAAAACCGTTAAATGAGACGTGCGCAGGCGCGACGAAGTTCTTTACGGCAGGCTTGGAGGGGATAGGGATTTTGCTGCGCGACCGAACTGAAAAAAATGTGATAGTAAAACTGTAAGAAAAAATGCGTGGAATAAAACCATTAAATGAGACGTGCGCATAGGGGGTGGTAGAGCGACGAGGGTGCATCACTGAAATATTGTGATATTACACCAACACTGAATATGTGTGAAGTTATAGGGGGAGGTAGAGCGACGAGGGTGCATCGCTGAAATATTGTGATATTACACCAACACTGAATATGTGTGAAGTTATAGGGGGTGGTAGAGCGACGAGGGTGCATCACTGAAATATTGTGATACTACACCAACCCTGAATATGTGTGAAGTTATAGGGGGTGGTAGAGCGACGAGGGTGCATCACTGAAATATTTTGATATTACACCAACTCTGAATATGTGTGAAGTTATAGGGGGTGGTAGAGCGACGAGGGTGCATCACTGAAATATTGTTATATTACACCAACACTGAATATGTGTGAAGTTATAGGGGGTGGTAGAGCGACGAGGGTGCATAACTGAAATATTGTGATATTACACCAACACTGAATATGTGTGAAGTTATAGGGGGTGGTAGAGCGACGAGGGTGCATCACTGAAATATTTTGATATTACACCAACTCTGAATATGTGTGAAGTTATAGGGGGTGGTAGAGCGACGAGGGTGCATCACTGAAATATTGTTATATTACACCAACACTGAATATGTGTGAAGTTATAGGGGGTGGTAGAGCGACGAGGGTGCATAACTGAAATATTGTGATATTACACCAACACTGAATATGTGTGAAGTTATAGGGGGTGGTAGAGCGACGAGGGTGCATCTCTGAAATATTGTGATACTACACCAACACTGAATATGTGTGAAGTTATAGGGGGTGGTAGAGCGACGAGGGTGCATCACTGAAATATTGTGATATTACACCAACACTGAATATGTGTGAAGTTATAGGGGGTGGTAGAGCGACGAGGGTGCATCACTGAAATATTGTTATATTACACCAACACTGAATATGTGTGAAGTTATAGGGGGTGGTAGAGCGACGAGGGTGCATCACTGAAATATTGTGATACTACACCAACACTGAATATGTGTGAAGTTATAGGGGGTGGTAGAGCGACGAGGGTGCATCACTGAAATATTGTGATACTACACCAACACTGAATATGTGTGAAGTTATAGGGGGTGGTAGAGCGACGAGGGTGCATCACTGAAATATTTTGATATTACACCAACTCTGAATATGTGTGAAGTTATAGGGGGTGGTAGAGCGACGAGGGTGCATCACTGAAATATTGTTATATTACACCAACACTGAATATGTGTGAAGTTATAGGGGGTGGTAGAGCGACGAGGGTGCATAACTGAAATATTGTGATATTACACCAACACTGAATATGTGTGAAGTTATAGGGGGTGGTAGAGCGACGAGGGTGCATCTCTGAAATATTGTGATACTACACCAACACTGAATATGTGTGAAGTTATAGGGGGTGGTAGAGCGACGAGGGTGCATCACTGAAATATTGTGATATTACACCAACACTGAATATGTGTGAAGTTATAGGGGGTGGTAGAGCGACGAGGGTGCATCACTGAAATATTGTTATATTACACCAACACTGAATATGTGTGAAGTTATAGGGGGTGGTAGAGCGACGAGGGTGCATCACTGAAATATTGTGATACTACACCAACACTGAATATGTGTGAAGTTATAGGGGGTGGTAGAGCGACGAGGGTGCATCACTGAAATATTTTGATATTACACCAACTCTGAATATGTGTGAAGTTATAGGGGGTGGTAGAGCGACGAGGGTGCATCACTGAAATATTGTTATATTACACCAACACTGAATATGTGTGAAGTTATAGGGGGTGGTAGAGCGACGAGGGTGCATAACTGAAATATTGTGATATTACACCAACACTGAATATGTGTGAAGTTATAGGGGGTGGTAGAGCGACGAGGGTGCATCTCTGAAATATTGTGATACTACACCAACACTGAATATGTGTGAAGTTATAGGGGGTGGTAGAGCGACGAGGGTGCATCACTGAAATATTGTGATATTACACCAACACTGAATATGTGTGAAGTTATAGGGGGTGGTAGAGCGACGAGGGTGCATCACTGAAATATTGTTATATTACACCAACACTGAATATGTGTGAAGTTATAGGGGGTGGTAGAGCGACGAGGGTGCATCACTGAAATATTGTGATACTACACCAACACTGAATATGTGTGAAGTTATAGGGGGTGGTAGAGCGACGAGGGTGCATCACTGAAATATTGTGATACTACACCAACACTGAATATGTGTGAAGTTATAGGGGGTGGTAGAGCGACGAGGGTGCATCACTGAAATATTTTGATATTACACCAACTCTGAATATGTGTGAAGTTATAGGGGGTGGTAGAGCGACGAGGGTGCATCACTGAAATATTGTTATATTACACCAACACTGAATATGTGTGAAGTTATAGGGGGTGGTAGAGCGACGAGGGTGCATAACTGAAATATTGTGATATTACACCAACACTGAATATGTGTGAAGTTATAGGGGGTGGTAGAGCGACGAGGGTGCATCTCTGAAATATTGTGATACTACACCAACACTGAATATGTGTGAAGTTATAGGGGGTGGTAGAGCGACGAGGGTGCATCACTGAAATATTGTGATATTACACCAACACTGAATATGTGTGAAGTTATAGGGGGTGGTAGAGCGACGAGGGTGCATCACTGAAATATTGTGATATTACACCAACACTGAATATGTGTGAAGTTATAGGGGGTGGTAGAGCGACGAGGGTGCATCACTGAAATATTGTGATATTACACCAACACTGAATATGTGTGAAGTTATAGGGGGTGGTAGAGCGACGAGGGTGCATCACTGAAATATTGTGATATTACACCAACACTGAATATGTGTGAAGTTATAGGGGGTGGTAGAGCGACGAGGGTGCATCACTGAAATATTGTGATACTACAAAAAACACTGAATATGTGTGAAGTTATAGGGGGTGGTAGAGCGACGAGGGTGCATCACTGAAATATTGTGATATTACACCAACACTGAATATGTGTGAAGTTATAGGGGGTGGTAGAGCGACGAGGGTGCATCACTGAAATATTGTTATATTACACCAACAGTTAATATGTGTGAAGTTATAGGGGGTGGTAGAGCGACGAGGGTGCATCACTGAAATATTGTGATATTACACCAACACTGAATATGTGTGAAGTTATACGGGGTGGTAGAGTGACGAGGGTGCATCACTGAAATATTGTGATATTACACCAACAGTGAATATGTGTGAAGTTATAGGGGGTGGTAGAGCGACGAGGGTGCATCACTGAAATATTGTGATATTACACCAACACTGGATATTTGTGAAATTATATCAAGCTGTGGACCAGTAACGCCTGTGGTGAGTACTTATCAGGAGGTCGCAGAGCGACGGGGGTGCATCACTGGATTATTGTGACATTGTAGTTTATTCTAAACTGTGGGCCAGTCCTGCCTAGCATCCTTTACGAACGCTAGCGGGACATGATAATAAGGTGCGTATGTAGGGGGTGGCACAGCTACGAGGGTGCAGCACTGGAATATTGTGACATTACACGAAATCTGGATATTTGTGACGTTATACCGAGCTGTGGACCAGGAACGCCTATCATCTGCTGTAAACTTAAGCTAGACATGATAACAAGGTCAGTACTTAACAGGGGGTGACAGAGCGACGGGGGTGCATTACTGGATTATTGTGAAATTGTAGTTTATTATAATCTGTGGGCCAGTCCTGTCTAGCAATCTTTACGAACACTAGCTGACCGAACTGAAAAAAATGTGAAAATGTGATAGTAAAACCGAACCGTAAGAAAAAATCCGTGGAAAAAAGCGCGTGGAATAAAACCGTTAAATGAGACGTGCGCAGGCGCGACGAAGTTCCTTACGGCAGGCTTGGAGGGGATAGGGATTTTGCTGCGCGACCGAACTGAAAAAAATGTGATAGTAAAACCGTAAGAAAAAATCCGTGGAAAAAAATGCGTGGAATAAAACCGTTAAATGAGACGTGCGCAGGCGCGACAGTCGCATACACAAGCGAGTTTGCAATTTGTGTCGATTCTACATTAGCCGAAGGAACTTCGTTCCTACCTGGTGTCCCACGACACCACATCATTTTTTTTTTATTAACAAGAGGTCTCTCTTCTGTCCACTTTGTTAGCAAAAAAGTAAATCAATTACTTATCTCTTTATCATCGACTGTGGGACATTTTAGATGTGGGTTGTTTGTCACAGCCAACTTTAATATAGTCAACTTAATAAGTATTGGTAGAACATAGTAAAATATGTGTTTAACAAAGTGATTCAAGTCCTAAACAGTGCAACACTTCCCAATGTCTTATTAAGAGCGAAGTCTTAAAATATTTGCATTAACCATATTTACAACAAACAATATTTCCTCTAATCAGATGACCAGTCATTAAATTTTATCAACATTGCAAATACTGCATTTTTTTATAAGTACCTACATGTAAATCGTTAAGTACAACAATATTATGTGAATCATTTCTAACATAATTGCATTGCTAATATCTAAAATATAAACAAGTGTAGACAAATTATGTGCATGAATAAAGATTTTAAACAGTCACACTTGGAGACATAGATTATCTTTTTTTTATGATGATAGTGTCACTTTCTTTGCAACAATAATAAAATAAGTCGATGCATGCTTTATTAAAGCAATAAATTTATTCGACTTCTGAATGCAGATCAATAAAGAAGAGTTGAAATCCTACACAAAATAAGTCTTTTTGAGGAATTTATACAATGATGTCACAATAAGAATACTAACATTAGTAACAGAACAGAAAATGGAAAAGCATTTTTGCTTTCTTGTAATTAATTACATACAGCAGTGGCACATAGTTTCCTTAGAAATAGTAACATTATTATTAGGTACAATAAAAAACTCTAAATCAGCAAATAAAAAAACAATTGAGTACAAACTAAATGAAAAATAAAATAAATAAAATAACTATTATATTTATATTCTAAGTTGGTATTTTTTTATTTCAGTTAAAATTTCATTGTTTAGGTGTAAATAGTAATTATTTTTATGCCAATTTATTATGAAGTACTTTTATTATGTTATTTTTTATTGTAAATGAAAAATCAACTAAAATAAGATAGTGTAAATAGTAATTATTATTATGCCAATTAATTATGAAGTTCTTTAAATTTTATATTTTTTATTGTAAATGGTAAATGGACTAAAATAAGATAAAATAACCATTAACTTCATCATATATAACAATATAAATGGATTTCTAGAAGAAGTCACCTACATATTACACCCCAGTCCCCGTAGCATGAGCGCCACAATTTACATTATATCACGTTTTTTATCTCATCTAAATGCCAAACTTCACAGTAATTAAACAATAAAGCGTGATAAAAACGCGTTATATATCATATCCCGGTGCTCATGCTAGGGGGCAGAAAATAAAAAATTAACTATTTTTTTTAAAGGTACATTAACTTTTATACTAAAGGTGCATTCATTTATGTAGCATGTTATATATTATGGTTATTCAAAGGTTTCAAGAATGTAGATTTTATATTACAACATGTTATTATTAAACATCTACATTTTTGAATAATCTGATTAATATAGCCCAACATCATATTAGCCTCGAGAACTTTTAACTTGAGCTTTATAAAATGTGCATGTAAAATATAAACTGAATTTCAAACTTTTGATCTCTCCTGCGTACAATATAAGATAAGAAAGAATAGACTAGCTGTTAAAATAAATGTATTTGTAGAAACCCACTAAATGCCCAATTTTAGAGAACCTGCAGATAATTAATTGTTAAAGTTTAGTTTTGCACTTAATCAGAATAGAGATGTCGGTGACTGCAAACATCTACTAATCTTGTTTTTATCAACAAAACTGCTATCCAAATTAAAAGTTTGAGGTCTGCAGTCTCTTACTACTCCAAAGTATTTTACAAAGTTAACCATTGTAGCCATGAAACCAGTTTATAAAGCTCCACATAAATTTTCTTTGGTGGTAACTTATTATGAGGGTACAAGATACCACTGGAAGGGTCACAGTTGGTTATGACAGGTACTTGATTAACTGTTCTGCTGTATTTTATGCCATCACAATTGGTTAGATTCAGTGTCTTATCGAAACATATCCTTATTTCGACCAAAAATGACTTACCTTCTTCTACTCTGCACTGAATTGAAGGATTGACCTCCAATGTATTTTTTACAGCATTGTAGATATCAAGAAGTTTGTATTCATTATCATCATCTGGGACAATTCCTGATTTAGCTAGAACTGCAGACATGTCATATTGTTGAAAGAAATTAAGGCCTTTGGAGAAATACTTATACTGTGTGTCGAGTGGTTCTAATACGGCAGCACAGGTACCATGCTTGTTCCATTCATGTGCCCAAAATGAGTATATACCAGTACCTGCAATTAGAAAGATGAATAATATTATAATTATGAGGTTTTTTTTTGAATTTTTTCAGTGTTTATAGGTTGTCTTAAGCTTTTATTTTCTTAAGTAAACAAGAAACTAAATAAGCTAAGACAACCGATCACTAAATATGGTAACATTGAGTGTATAAAGGTTAGTATTATCACACTTAGTAAAAGGTTCATCATTGGTTCCTACCAGTCATTGGTGTAAGAATTGACTAGAAATGAGCATTTTGTTAAAGACTAACCTTCTTCAATATTGGTCCAAACATTAATTAGATCTGTTTCAATAGGTCTGATTTCTTCAGGGTCAAAGAGCCAAGTCCTATTGCAGAATGAAGGATCTAGAGTGCCTAGCTTTGTCGGCCAAATACCATGGATCGCCCAGGAATCTTCCTTCTTGGGCATTTTGCAGGTGTGCGATGGATTGTGATGTACCCATTCTTTGCATACAGTTTCAGGCCATTGTTGTGTAAAAATTAATAGATCCCAATCATGATTGTGTTGGTACTTTAGTAGATGTGCTGTGTTAACACTGTAACATTATAGTGATTATAAAATAATATAAATATGCTTTCATACACAGTAGACAATGTATGTATTAAATATTCACATTTAACTGAGTAAATTATAAACCTAACACTTATTTGAGAAGATGGGTTTATTATTATTTTCAGTTTATCAACACTGGTGTTGATTGTGGCACGATTCTAAACTTAAATTAGACAACAGTGTATCCTTGTCATTCTCTGTACAGAATGAAAAGGAGAGACTGATGTGAAATTTAGTTTAAAGTTTAGATCCCGGACAGAACAAAATATTTTATAATTTACTGAAGATTTGGTTTATTGCCTCTAAACAAAAACAAAATAACAGATTTGGCCTTGCCTATATAATAATATATGACAACTAGAATTATGGATGTAAGACTTGGCAGTATGGCTTAGTACCTTCGCCTGTCCCAATGAACGAAATTATACTACTACTTAAAGTTTAGAGAATCATGCCAGAATTGACACCAATAAAGCACTAATTATTTTATAATTATTAATCACATTAACTGTAGTGGAGACAAAAACTACAAAGAATTATGGTTTGAAGAGTCAAAGCAGGCCACAAACGGCTCTATGTGCTTGATTTCTATTAATCCTAGACATGTAAAGAGATGTTTTTATAGTAAATGTAGATGCTATCAAATTCTTTGGAAGCTATTATTTTGCAGAAATGATTAAATGTATCATCAAAAGTCTGACATAGCATAAACAACACTTACCAACAAAACAGTAATATAACCATATAACCAATATATTCCATGACTCCTTAGCCTTAGAAGCTAATAATTAATGCGGTCACTTTGTTCAAAATCCTTAGTTTAAAATTTAACTATGTAATAAAATGCAAATAATGCATTCGATATCTCAGCTGATTGTTGCTGTTTCGTTTCAGTTCAGTCAGCTGTCAAATCAGTGCAATAATTACGTCATGTAGCTGTCACCTGTCAGTATCACTATTTTAAGATTCTTTTCAGAGAAGGCAAAGGGAACAATGCCCATACAACCAAGTCTTTAGTTTAATTAATCTTGGTTTTTTTGTTTTTACATTAGAATGTTAGTGTGCCTCATTCTAATGTGTCTTGGAGTATTTGGCACGGAATGCATCGAGTTGGCTTTTCCGGTAAACAGTCAACGCTACAATCAAATTCTCACGTCCACTTGACCGGAATAGGGTATATTTTTATAGGGAAGATTCCACTAATTCTTCACATGAGATGTTGTTATGTTGTTGTAGATGTTAAATTTTGTTTAAAGTTTAGAGAATCACGCCAGAATCGATACCACTGTCTTATTTATGGTGGAAATTATTGCCCCAGCCTCTTTTCTTCTGTAGGGGTAACAAGTTTCTTTCAAAAAACCTGTTACTCCTACAGAATAAGTGGAACATGCTTATTAAAGTTAAATTATCGCTTTACAAGTTCATCTTTATAATTGCAGCTTGTAATTAATATTTTAATTATAGAATCTGACCGAAATACAACTATGACAACAATTTCTTGAAAGAAACCTGTTACCCCTACAGAATAAGTGGAACATGCTTTAATTAAAGTTAAATTATCGATTTTCAAGTTCATATTTATAATTACAGCTTGTATAATTAATATTTTAATTATAGAATCTGACCGAAATACAAGTATGACAACAATTTCCCTCATTTTGGGGAAAATAATATAGCCATTTTATGGTTCAGAGGAGCTCGATGGTACGCAAGTGATTAGCGCGTTCGGCTGCGATAGTTGAAGTTAAACAACTTTCGTAGTTGTCGGTCATTAGATGGGTGACAAAAAATATATTACTGTGTGCTTTGGAAGGTACGTTAAGGCATTGGTTTCAGCTGCATCTGCAGTCATTGCCACCCACCTATCCGCAATGGGCACACGTGGTAGTTCATAGCCCAATTTTCCTATTCCATCCACAGAGAAGGCCTGTGTCTCTGCTGCAGTGGGGACATAAATAGGCTAATGATGATGATGATAATGAGCCATTTTTTAAGTACTGTATTTCAAAATCAACTGGACCTGCAATATTTAACTCATAATTCAAATTGAAGAGATTTTTTTCTACTTTTAAATGTAGACAGTGACTTACCTAATAGATAGGAGGCACTTGAAAAGTTATAGCGAGAAGCCGAAAAAAGATCGAACATATCGAGGTTCAAAAAAGTTAGCGAATGTAGGCCGGCTGTGCCATACAGGTAGGTACTCTAAAAGCACTAAACAGCACACCCTATTCGCTAATTTTTTTGACATTTACAGTGTGCAACTAAAGAAAAAATTGCGATTCCATCAATGATTTTTAGAACCAATATCTTAGCGGCGTTATTATAAAGCAGTAGAGGAACACTAAATAGCTCGGTGATTATCACTTCCATCTGTCAAAAGCTGTTAGCTAGGCCTACTGGTCTTTTGAAGCTGCAATAATTTTCAAATTGCCCAGGACCCCGAGAGAAACTCGCATCTTTAACTATCGTCATCCACCGTTTGGCCTGAGGTTTAAACCTAGTGTAGGTAGCGAAAACTTCTTGAAAAACCACAGACAACTTGCAGAGTAAACGTTTTTGTGTGTAAAATTGTTACTGCGCAGGCTTCCTTGTCTATAGTCGAATTGGTCGATGGTCAAGAAGTTTACCTAGGTCTGTGTAAATACCGTAATATTAGCATTTAAAGTCTCTTTAATTATTTGTGCGCACCCAGTCATTTGATTAATATGTTCTAACTTAAGCCATCGTGCCCACGCGCTTCCAAAGAAAACTTGCCATAGCTGGCAGTCATGAGCAACAAAAAAAAACAATAAAGCTTCACAATTTCCAAAGGTCTGTTTAGATAGCTGCGCGGGCGCTGACCCGCTTTTTTTCAAGCCAACTTATACCGTTCTCGTTTGGCCTGAATCCGCGTTTTTCTTCGCGTTCGGCGCCCGCCGTCCGTCACTCGCTTCGGTGCTCCTGTGAAAAAAACCCTCGCGTGCGTCACGACACGGTGCACTGGTATCCCCGACAATTACTGAAGATGCAATATGGGTCTGCGGCCTATGCTATTGCCCCTCTAGGGCGAACCAATTTACCCCACGATAATTACATTTTTTTCTCATGTGTAGGTCCAATGACCTTTTATATCACGAAACTTTTAGCATATTCCAATAGTGTTGCGAAGAACTAATGAGGCTGGATGTTGATCATTCTTTACATTTTAATTCCGAGGGACCATTTGTCAAAAATTCTGTCTTGCCACGGATCACCACTTATGATTTGCACCCCCGCCCGGGTGCTTCCAGGGACCACCGGTTAAGAGCCACTGCTGTAGATAGAGGTTATTGTGTAGGTGCGCGAGTAAATTCGTGGAGGCATTTGCTGAAGTTAAGTGAGGCTGGAATACTTACAGACACAAGAATAGCTGGTGTACCAGGTCTACTTGCTACTGCAGCAGGTAAGACTGCCGCACCAGATATGCTATATTAACCTTCCTCATGTTGTCGGCCTGTAAGTTGCTTCTTCACGCCTCTTATAGATGAAAATAATTAATTATAAATACAACCCAGGGTGGGTTGTATTTATAAGAATAAATATAAAAATATTTGTATTTATACTGTATGACACAGCAATCAAAATGCAGGATAACAATTAATGTATATTTAATCATTATGTAATGAAAGGTGACTTCATGAATCATCTCTGAAGTCATTTTTCAATTTGACGACAATTTGTAAATAATAAAACACAGAGAAAAAACGGCCTTTGCTGAGTTTCTTCTCAGTACAAGGTCTCCCGCCGTAGATTTACGAACCGATGGCGTAGCTTCTAGACATTCATGATTGCTTGTAACAGCCATAATAGAATAAATGATTTTGATTATAATTGATTATGAACAGCTGCACTCAGAGAAATCCATGGTCTAACTTTTAAGTTTGACTAAAGTTCATGCTGTCATTTTCTTTGAGATCGATAACATTGGACTCAGACTACACTTGTCTTAATAATAAAAAAAATATTTATAACAGACAACAAGGAAAAAATAACATTGAATGAGATAGTATTTAAAATTAATTTAGAAAGATTTCATAAAAAGAACAACAATATTTATCAATATGGGACCGTCAAATTTATCAGCTAATGCCGTAACATCAGGAAACCCTTAGCACGAGCCAATATCAAATTCGATAGATCATCGATAAATAGCAAGTAAGAAATGTCATTGTGTCATTGTCGTATGGAAACTTGAACAGCAGCAGGCATAATGGACGTAACGAGAACTGAAAATCAGTACACATTTGACAATGACATTTCGCACTCGCAATTCGCAAACTATTCGAATTCGATATTGGTTCGTGCTAAGTGTATGCTACTGCTTCGTACTCTGTTCAATAAGGAAGGTGTTTTTTGCGCATGATTGCTGGCAAACCCATCAGTACGAGCCTCGGCAAACATGACGAGAGGCACTACAAAAGTGAGGCAGTCCCAACAGCACCCTAAAGGCATTATTATAAATTGTATTTTAAGTGCCTTTGTCGCTGCTTGCGTATATATTAAATAAATTTGACGTCTCTGAGTACGGTAAGTCCTAAACAGGTTTACTTCTATTCTTGAATAGATCCCTTGGGATCTAAAATAGAGATATGTATTTTTGTGAAACATGTTTTTTTTTATAGTTTCTGGTTACTACTTAATTATCTTTAAATTTAATAGGGTATTTGCCAAGTTTTAGAAAACGATCTCACGTTATTCGCTAATGTTTATAGGGTCCATAAAAAGTGGATATTCATCATTATATTGTGTAGATATTTCGGTAAAAAAAATGATTCAAAAACTCTATTTTCAAGTTGCCGCGGAAAACGTATCTCTGGACAATATGGCGGCTCACTGGTGTGTGACGTCACACGACTGTCATTAAAACGTCAAACCATACAATCAAATGTCACTTTAACCGGAAGTTTACTTGCGTGTGACGTCATGTTAGGCTCCACCAATCCAAAGCGTTTTGGGTCACGTGACAATAGACAAGAAAACTATTATCTTTATCGTGGGTTTTTAGTAAAATTATGAATATTTTTTCAGTAAAAATAGTAAAAACTCCTGCCAATATTCATTCCAAATACAGATGCTATCAATTGGCACTTTTATTTTTAATACTGTCAAATACCCTATTGTAACTAAGTACTTTTTAAATGCGAATAGGACGGCTGAGTAAGTATGTACCTACTATATATCAACTTACTGAGTAAGTAAGTTTTCCTTAAGCAAATAGACAAAAGCAAATCAGCGCATTACTGTTTCCCCGTTAAACTAATGGTAATAAAACTGACGTAATTTTATTCCCCCAGTTGGTAATAGGAGTTTAGAAGGGCGCCCGCTGCCTTGCTCAAAGTCGTAGGTTCAAAGACACCGTGACCCTTTGTCTCCTCATAGGACCTTCAATAAAAACTCTTGTCAACTAAGGGTGAATACTATACTATAAGTAGCTGTGCATGAACTATTTTTATTAAGTTAAGATGTCTTGTTATGAGTCCAAGTTGCCACTTAAATATTATATTAAGGGAGCTCTGATCGAAGTAATGTAGATTTTAATATTTAGTTCAATTTCATAGAATATTTATTTTTATAGAATGATTGTCGCCCATGCTGTCCCTGTAGCATGAGAATCATAATTTACATTTTATAACGTTTTTTATTGCGTCTTACTGTCAAACTCCATAGTAATTGCACAATTGAGCCTGTAAAAGCTTTTTCTGGACAAAACAACATATAAGTTAGGGTATATTAGGTAAAAT